ACCATCCTCCCGCTTGGACGCTTCAAAGAACGACCTGGGGTTCCCAGAGGCTACAGCAGACAACACGGACTGCACTGCAGTAGCGTGAGCTGCTGCCAGCTTGGGATCTGAGGGGTCACCCTCGCGAGCCACAATAAGGGCGGAGGATGACTTCAGAAGCAGCTCATCGTCACTGAGGTCTTCAGGGATCTCTTCAAAGATCTCTGCCATGGTGCGCCTGGGAGGAGCAGCAGCCGGAGCTGGAGCCCTCCTGGGTGGGGCAGGGACACGATGGATGCCAGCAGCAGCACGACGAGCTGCCACCCCAATTGGAGATTGGGGAGGGGGAGGCGAGGGTGGAGGGTGAAGCGGGGCATCCCCAGCTGGTGGTGGAGATGGAGGTGGTGGAGCTCGACGTAGAAAGTCGATTTCATCATCACTGCTGGCTGCAGGAGAGGGAACTCGTGGTGCAGGGAGAGGACAAGCAGGCGGCTGTTGCTGCTCATCATTACCATCGTCATCAGGGACATACACCGGTGCCGGAGCACGAGGGGGATCCACCAGCATGGAGGAGGGGGGTGCCGCAGGACAGCTCCTCATAGCTTGAGGGGTGCTGCCTGGGAAGTAGCGCTCATCAAACACTGCTCTCTCAGCGATCACGAGTTTCCGAGTCTCTGGGTTGAAGAACAACCATCCCTTGTACCCTGCAGGATAGCCTACAAAGATACACTTCTGGACATGATGACCAGAAGGACCTCTCTTGTCTCTTTGCACATGCACATAGGCAAGGCATCCCCAAACACGAAGGTGAGACACATCAGGCTTTGCCTTGAACCACAGCTCATGGGGAGTCCTGGTGGGATCTCGAGCTGTGGGGTGCATGTTGCACACATGGATGTATGCAGACACCGCCAGTGCCTTGAATGCAGGGGGCAGGTTGGCTTCGTGTAACATGGCAGTGGAGTGCTCATCAACGGTGCGGTTAGACCGCTCTGCTGTCCCATTCTGCTGAGGCCGCGCCCTGACTGAATGGCGGTGCACAATGCCACACTTGTCCAGATGTGATCTGAACTCATTAGACATGTACTCTCCCCCTTTATCGTCCTGGAATGCTTTGATCTTCAGCCCCCAGTGAGTCTCAGCATACGCTTGAAACATCTTAAGGGCTGCAAATGTCTCACTCTTGTTCTTCATGTGGTATGCTACCTTGAAGCCAGTGTGATCATCAACAAAAGTCACCCTGTGCTTCCAGCCCTCTCGGGTGGGCACAGAGTAGCTCTTTAGATCAGAGTGAATGAGATCAAGAGGCGCTCCAGAACGATGACCAGTTGAGGGAAATAGGCCAGCATTCAGCTTGCCAAAGAGGCATGGCTCACAGATGGGGTCTGGCTTCCTGGCAGAGGCAAGCCTCACACCAGTAACTAGCTCTTTATCCATGACTAGCTTGGTATCACTGTGGTGTCCAAGCTGCCTGTGCATCAGGCTGAGGTCAATGGAAAGAGTCCCAGCTGTAGAGACCAGTGCTGAACCAGCAGAAGGGAAACCAGTCTCTCTCACAAATGCCTGACCCTGCTCTGAGATATCTGCCACAAAGTACACTTCACCATTGCGCTTGAACAGGATGTAGTTCTCCTTCATGAGCACAGTGTAGTCATGGTGAACTGACAGGTATGTAGTGGAGATCAGATTGTGTGACAGAGCAGGGACATAGAGCACATTGGAGAGGATCACAGACCGGCTCCTGGCATGTCCATGGATCAGTGGCCTAAGCACTATCTCCCCCACAAGCTCTGAATAGACCACAAGTCCATTAGCCACTCTGATGGGTGCCCTATGAGGACGAGTATTCTGCAGCAGGTGCACACAATGAGTCATGTGTGATGTAGCACCAGAATCTGCAATCCATCTCAACTCAGGGTCTGCAGTGGAGTGGGAGAGAAGGCTTGTATGAGTGGCCACTTCAGACTTGACTGCACCCTTTCTGGGCCTAGGCCTAGGCTCAGGCTCAGGCTCTGGCTCAGGCTCAGAAGCATTGTCCTCTAGGAGAGACAAAAACTCTGGGCATTTTAGGAGTGTGTGGCCATGTTGATAACAGGCATAACACAATGGCTGAGCAGAAGCAGGTGCAGCTGCCAGGGCAGCAGAAGGAGAAAAGACTGATGGATGAGAGTGGGAATTTGATGCCATGCTGTGCTCAAAAAAGCGCCCAGAATGATGTAGGAGATGTATGTATGTAGCTACAGGCTCTCAGGAGTGTGTTGATCTCAGGCACCTAGCTGTCTCAACCTCAGGATCACAGGAATGACTACCTGGTGTTTCCTGATGGACCAAAGAGCACACCCACTTAAGGATAGAGTCCCAACTACTAGTGCCTGAACCACAGACACTATAAGAGCAGAAAAAAAAAACAGACAGAGGGGAGCAGAGATGTCAACTGCAGTAGCAGGACTGGGGCAAGCAGGCAGCAGCAGGCAGAGAAAATCAGAGAATGGAAAAAACTCGAAAATCTCAGAATAGATGACTCAGAGGCACTCTAGAGGCAGGGGCCCATAACCTGTTGAAGCAGGAAATGCAGAGAGGACTGGAGTCAACAGTAAGAAGCTCTGCATTGCAAGACAAGACAAGAAAAGAATCTACAGACCTGGAGTCAACAGTAAGAAGCTGAAGAACTCCAGGGAGGCAAGAACTATCTATGTGGATGGAGCATGTGACTGTATAGAAATCATGTGACTTGGAGTCATGTGACCAGAATGATGGAATGATGGGAACAGTGATGGAATCAGATATCATCAGTGATGTGATCAGTGATAGGATCAGATGGAATCAGATGATCATGTGACCCAATCACCAGAGAGTGATCAAGTCCAAAACCCATCCTCAACATTTTCTGAGAGACAGATTGTGTGAACTTTGCAAAAATGAAAAGATCTGCCAACCTCTCGTGGTGTATACATCCCGAAGAACGCTGCCGTACCGTTGCTATGCAGGCGCCTCGAACATCGAGCCTAAATCTTTCATTACATGTTCTTAACGAGTCTGAAGAAGGATGTCGGCCACTGTGAGAGATCCTTGACGTGCAGCGACCGCAATTTTTGGATCCAGGGTCTAAGGAGTCGGCATTCGACAAACGGGCTGTTGAGAAAGAGGGAGAGGCTTTTCTGGGCGACAGGCCGTGGCTAGATCGGCGTCCAGGCTATTTCCGCATCGCAGGACCTCGATGGGGGGTATGTGTCGTGTGTGTCATTTGGTATTATCCTGATGGCCCCCGAACGACCGCGAGCGTTGGCGAGGGTGTCAAGTCTCTAAGAATCATCCCGGCCACCGTAATCGGAACCAATATTCATGCCACGAGGCGGACTTGGGATGGTATAAGAGCGTGTCCGAAACGATTCTAACAAGCATCAATTTCCTTTCCTTTCACTCCTCCCCTCCCTTTTCCGAATCCAACAGCATGCTTTCCACGACCACTCTCGCTCAGTTCATCGCGCTGGCAGCGTTTGCTGCAGCGGCTCCGACCAATGTGACGATCGCCGAGCGCGGAGCTTGCATCATCAACAGCGTCGCCAGCTCGAAGAGCTTGTCGAGCTGCACCACAGTCACCATCCAGCCCTTCACTGTTCCTGCTGGTCGTACGTCTCTTTCGGTTTCTTCAAATGTTTCTTGTCGCTTACAATTATAAAGAAACGGTGACTATTGCGGCAGCTAAGGGCGCAGTTGTTACCATGGCCGGCGACGTGATCTTCTCCAAGACCAGCAGTAAGCATCCGCGTAAATCAAGATAGCTTCAGATCTGATTTCCGAGGCTAAAGCTGCCGGCCCGCTCTTCATTATCAATACTCCGAGTGTCACCTTCAACGGCGCCGGCCACAAAATCAATGTGTGAAGCTTTGCGACCTTCAGTCTATAACTGCTGATGTGGCTGATCGCAGGGAAATGGCGCCTCGTACTGGGACGGAAAGGGTACTAACGGCGGTGCCTTCAAGCCTCACCCCTTCGTGAAGTGGGTCTTTGCCGACCAGTACATCAATTCCTTTCTGACATGCGATGTCAAGGCTCCAGGGCTCGGGAACATTCGAATCGTTCACTGTCCTCAACTCGCCTGCCCAAGCCATCTCGGTTGGCACCAATGCAGCCAGTACCATCAAAGGCGTCACCGTCGATAACTGTGAGTGTCTAACTTCCATTGCCCCCCCCTCCAAAATCTCATCTGCAATTCCAGCGGCGGGTGCAAGCCTCGGCCACAACACCGACGGGTTCGACATCAGCGCGTCGGATGTGACTGTGAGCGGCTGCACGGTCCACAACCAGGACGACTGCGTCGCTGTCAACTCTGGAAACAGTACGCCTTTTAACCGATTCGCGCACACTCACACATTCATACGGAATTTCTTTCCAGACATTGCGTTCTCGAACAACGTCTGCACTGGCGGACACGGAATTTCGATCGGCTCCATCGCCACCGGCAAGTCGGTCACTAACTTCCGCGCTAGTGGCAACCACGTGTCGAACTCGAAGTACGGGATCCGCATCAAGGTGCAGGAAGCCGCCACCAACGCCAAGGTCTCTGGTGTGACCTACCAGGGGTGTGTGCATCTGCTTTCTTCAATATATCTCTTGTTTGACACGAGCTGTTCAGCAACACTCTGACGGGCATCTCCGATTTCGGTGTGCTCATCTCTCAGAGCTACCCCGTCGAAGACGGCCCCAAGGTCGGAACCGGCGGCCCCATCTCGTGCGTCGTCTCCTTAGCCAAACGGATCTCATGATTGACAATCGGGTTTAGTAACGTCAACTTCGATGGCGCTGCGACCACGGTTGCTGTTGGTTCCAGCGGCCAAGGCCTCGTGGTGAACTGCGGCGCCTGCACTGGCGCATGGGACTTCTCCGGCCTCTCTATTTCTGGCGGCAAGGGACACAAGGTCACCGCCAACAACGCCAAGGTGTGTAGCCCATTCTTTCGTCGTCATTTTCCGTTTTTTAATCTCGCTGCAGATTGCCGGCGGAAAATTCTGAACTCGCACAAAACACTGTCACTCCTTTACCACCCACACTCTTTTTCACACACTCTTTTGCACTACCTAGTCCACTTTTCGTAGTCGCCGAGCGCGGCGGTCGTGCCTGGTGTTGCACGATTCCATAATCGTTCCTAGAGAACCACTTCTACTCTACCCTCCCTAGTCAAATTCAAGTACCTGCCATTGCCAATGCACTTTACTCTCATGTCTGCCGTGTTCCTTGACCAATGTCGCCGCTTGCTGCTATCTGTCAGGTGATCGCGTCTGCGCGTGAAGACTGGTGATGTCATCGTAGTGTGGTAAACCGTAACTGAGCGCGTTTTTCCCACCACCCCCTGCACTCCCAGTCATCATGATCATCTCGTCGAGTTTTCTTGACCGGAACCAAACCCAGATCCTATGTACGCCCGAGTACCGCAGTAGGCCAAGCAGAACGATTGGATTCTCTCGCACCCAAGCGCATGATACCAATGTCTGCGAGTCTCTGGCACTGTGGACACAGGAGAAAGGGGAGCAGAATGAGGAGCACCACAGACTGACAGACAGCGTGATATACGATCACCTCATTACACACCCCTCTCTCTCCGACGTCTGCTCTCTTCATTGTCCCCTTCCATCCAACACGCCATGGAATGCATCGATGTCTGTTACAAGAAAGTCGGAGAGCTATCTCTGCTTCTCAACGTGTACCCGCCCGACATCAGTTCCCTTCGCCACGAAGCGCGTTCTAAAACCGAAGTATTGCGGCTGCCCACCGTTGTGTACTTTCACGGAGGTGGACTCACTGTCGGAAGTAGAAACAGCTGGTTTCCTAGCTGGCTTCAAGGTACGTCACCGCTCGATGCAAATGGCGTGTTGGCTACTCAATCACTACATGTGTCGCAGCGCGTCTCAATGCCGCTGGCATGGTGCTCGTTTCCGTTGACTATCAGCTCATTCCCGGCCCCGCCACGGTGCATAACGTGATAGACGACATTCAGGACGTGTTCGCTTTCCTGCGCGACGAAAACACGCGCTTCAAGTCGGGCGAGGATCTTGAATTCGGAATTCGACCTGATGCGATGGCCGCCGCGGGATCCAGTGCTGGCGGGTTGTGTGCCCTGCTGGCGGGGATCCATGTCTCGCCTAAGCCGAAGGCCATCCTCGCTCTGTATGCTGTTGGCGGCGACTCCTTTGTCAGTGCCTCATCGTCGATCATATGCCGCACTCACTCACCATGTGCCACAGACCCATCAGACCCTCTCGCCCAAGACGAAGCCGTTCTTCCTCGGGCGCGAGATGCTGGATCCCGCCGACTTCCCTGACCTGCTGTATCCCGGATGTCAAGCCCTTCAACCCATCTGCGATTCTCCCCTCGAGTATTATCCCCTCGATCACCCAACGAAACCTGGCTGGCCCTCGAACCCCCGGACATATTTATCCCGCCTCTATCTCCAGCTTGGACAGTATCTGGACTACTGGACTGGCCAGCACGAACCCAGCTTGTCGGCGACTCTCCGGCCGCTTCTGGACAACCCCGACCTAGTCAGCGACCCTTTTGCTATGCAGGATGCTGCCGCAGAGCTCATCCCTGAGCACCACCGTCGAATCTTCCCCCAGCTCCATGTGACATCCGAATTCCCGCCCACATATCTGTTCCATGGGGCGGACGATACGGCTGTGCCCCCTTCTGACTCGCGCCACTTCTACATGCTGCTGCAAATGGCCGGTGTCGCTGCTCACCTGGTCTATGTTCCCGGAGCGACCCATTCCTTGGACTATGTGAAGAACGCGGAAGAGCTGTATGCGCACCATTTCGACGAGATGAATAGATTTTTGGTGGTTCATTTAGACATGTAAATCGTTACCTGGGATTGTATGGTGTATCGTGAATTGTGGGAGAGCTTTACTGGAACTATACGTATATTAGATAGGAATAGATGGAAGGATGTGGAATCTGGGGTCGGATGATCATCCTGTAGCGGCGCGTGTTCTTTCATGGAGGCAGTGCCTATTCGGCTCGCGAGCTCCGGCGGACTTCCACAGCCAACAGCGGCTGGACTCAATACGGAGAGAAGGTGCGGAAGGCCATGCATGGCGAGATGGGCCAGAATCCTTTCAAAAGTGTGAAATCTGGCTGGGCTGCGTTGCTGGGGAGACTGAAACCATGGTGCGACCGAGCAAAGAGAGAACCGCTGATAAAGAGCCCATCAGGATCGATTGATGGGCTGTGTTTGTACACTAAACATTCGGCAAGTGTATCAATTAACGCGTCTTGTGCTGCGACCATCTGCTCCCCAACTCCCTCTTTGGCCCACTTCTGTTGGTTCCTACCTCTCAAATGCCCCACCGCTCGCGTCACTATTCGTTGTTCTCCCCGCCAAGGTTATCGACGTCGGAGTTGATCAAGACGACATTGTCTCATGATGCGACGGATACGCTCATAGACAAGTGGCTCGAACACCGCGGATACGGACACGACGCATACTACGAGTGGTTTCGGGACGTCCGATACCGCAAGCACGCGACCCACGACGAGCAGAGCATCATCTGGAACAAAGGGGACTTCGTCCCTGAGAATGTCTTTTGTCGGACAGTCGACACTGGGCGGCTCATCCCCCTTGATCGCACATGGACGACACACTTATACCACCACCGGACAGTGCAGGAGCGGAAACTGCCCATGATGCCTGTTATCTTCACCATGGTGTGCCACATCTCTTTTCGACTCCATTGACGCTCGCTCAAAGACCGCTCAGCTTCCGGAGCTCATGCTCCTGCGAGGCATGCACGATGGCGGCTGCGATGAGATATTCATAATAGTGACCGACCTGAAGCGGCAGGAGATGGATGACGTTACAGCTTTCTTCAAGCTCATCTGCCGGAACACGTTCGGGCGGACGTGCAAACCATCGATGGAGCGGGAGATACAGCTTGAGCACATGCGCATCACGCACAGCATGGCTCGGCAGCGTCGCACTCCGTGCTTTCCCCAGATCGATCTGACGTTCCGCGCGCTGTTGTACGAGAAACGACCGCGCTTCCTCATCCTCTTCTCCCATCAGCCGACGTCCTACTCGCAAATCATCTTCACGCACCACTCTTATGTGCCGTCTGCGGATCTGTTCTACGATTATCCCACCGGGTGCCCCAATCCTTGTTGCACGGATGACTGCGAGATGATACGGTTCCCGCGCCGGGGACCGGAGGCTGCACAAGTGCTGGACATCAAGCGCGGTGGAAAGTACGGGAAACGGGTCAAGCGGAAGCAGATGTGCAACTGGATCGATTGTGACGTGTGCTTCGATACGGGCGACAATGCGAGTGAGTCGGGGAGTTCTGAGGGATCGGAGAACAGCAACGCTGGGGTTGTTGAACGTCCCAAAGTCGTCGCTCAGACATGCAGCAAGTGCAGGTTGGTCAGATACTGTTCGCTTGACCACCAGCGCAAAGATTGGGAAGAGCACAGACGTGTTTGTGCCAAATTGTAATGTTTCCACTGGATAGCAGGGTTTTCTTACTTAACCGGACTTTGTTCTTTGTGTTGCATGCCATGTATCTTGTCTTTCTTGCCCTTGTATGAAACGTACCGCATGCTTATGTACCTACATGACGCCGGATTATGAATACACTGACGAAGCTACATACATACTGCAGTCGAATTAGACACGATGCTCACAACTTTCCAGGTTTGTCTTCCACTTTTTTGCCACCATCTACATCCCCAGCTGCCTCATCGTCAGATTCTTCGTCCGCAGTCTCATCCAAGTTCAACTGCTTTCCGATGGCCTCAGTGATTGTTTCGACAAGATCTGCGGCGGATTCTGGCTCTGGTTCTGGCTCTGGCCCCGGCCCGGTCTCCTGCTCGCTTTTCTTTTCCACTGACTTGGTTTCGGCCCAAAGACGGTCCAGATCTTTCTCCCAACCTAGTTCTCGGCAAAGGTCCCTGACTATCTCGTCGCATTTGCCCAGCAACACCAGGTCGTTCGGCCGGTGACCGATTGTGCCAACGCGTTCAAAGTTGATGAGAACGCGAGGGCAAGTGCCGAGCACGCGCTGCGCCAGACCGGCGAAGGGATGGACAGTGAGTGAGGTTCCAATGATAATGAGTAGGTCTGCTTCTCCGACGGAAGGGATGGCTCTCGTGAATTCATCGGGAAGCTGGAGTGTTATCAGACAGTTACCCGCGATCAGAAACGCGGGATGAGACTGACAGACTCCCCGAAGAAGACGATATCGGGCTTGACCAGGCCCTTGCAGGATGGGCACTTCGGTATCTCCTTGGCGAGGACTTGCCGCTTCATCTCCGCGTCTTCGTGTGGCTTGCGGCAGTCAATGCACCGCTGGGTGGCGAAACTGCCGTGCGCTTCGATGATCTTGTCCCCCGGAACGCCTGCTTGTCGTTCCAGCGTGTCGATGTTCTGAGTAAAGCATTTCTGCAGGAGCTTCTTCTCCGCAAAGAGTCGAACAAAGGAATGGGTGGGAGTTGGCCGGAATTGGCCCGGATATAACTCATGGGCGAGGGTGTAGACTGAACAGACGTCTGGAGCCCGTCGAGTATGCGAGGGCGTTCCAATTACTTACATGGTTTGGGATCTCGACGGAAGAAGTTGATCTCGAAGACTGCTTCGGGGTATGGTAGCTTCAATCGAGCCAAGTTGGCCTAGACCGAATGCAAGTAAGGTCGAGGCAGAGCAGAAATACGTTTTCGTACGTAAAGACCTGGCAAGAAGGGTCGTCAACGCTCGCAGAAACATGGTTCATGACGGAACGACTGACCGGTTTCGGGAGATCGGAAGTCAGGGATGCCGGCCGATGTGCTAATGCCTATCGCAATTCAGAAATCAACTATCGAGTTGGGAGAAAGTGGTAAACACCGGCGCCAAGCTGCAGGCAAATCAATGTCCACAGCTTCACCAGACGAGACGAGCTCACCATGAATACGACGTTCTTGCATCTCTCAGACTTGATGTAGTCAGCCAATCCTGCGATGTCCTTGGTCTTCAGAGGATCAGTGCTGTTTCTCGGCATTGTAGAGAGCTGGCCGCAGGGGAAGAGGAGGAGAGGTTGTTAGGCGTTGATTAGTAGACGCTGTAACATTCGGATCGAGTCAGTTCCGCATGATGGCTATCCCTAACATGACGGTTCACATTGGCAGTAAGACGGAATCCTGTCCAGTTCAAATTGCTATCGGAGCTCAAGTCAACCTACAAACCGGTGGGAAGTAAAGTAAACAGGGCACTGATGATGATGGGCTGTAATCGAAATCAGCAGTCCCCGAAGGCATCCACAACATACACACACAACACGTCCCTCGCTTCAATTTGTCGCGACTGCACTTGGTCGTTGTCTTAGCCTACCGTTCACCTGTTGACCTTTTTTGCCGTCGCTCTTGAGGCTTTTGGAGTCAGAGAAGATTCGTCAGCGGCTGACGTCTTCGAGCCTGGTCAGGACTACATTTTGGCTGGTGCGTGCTCGCGTCCCAGTGTATCTCACCCTTGCAGCACTGATCATCGTGCAGCTCCTGTGAACTGCGACTAGTACCTCTAAATTCACCATATCTCCGATTCGATAACGCTCACTCTACTTCCCGCCCCATGTCGATGCAAGACCTGTCTGCACAGCAGCTCAAACAGACGATAGACCAACTTCATGTCGCCGCCAATGCCACCGGGAACTCCGCTGCATATCAGAAAAACCTCCTGAACTGGTCTACGTCGACGGCGACTCCCCGAGGAGGCGGCACCGGCCGAACGACACGCTCACGAAACACGCCCCGTGCCACACCAGCAGCATCTACTCCCGTGCCCCAACCCGCGCCCGTCATTTACCCACAGCAAGCCATCCCTCCTCCAGTATTCGTTCCGGTCGGACCCCCCAATCCACCTGCCAACCCGATCCCTGTTGCTGCGCAGGGGTACTACACGACGTACCCTTCGCGCATGCGCACCGGCGTGTCGCTGCTCATGCAGCCCATCATCTCCCACGTCCAAGCCACCACATCGCGCTCCTCGCGGCGGGCGGTCAATTACGTCGACCCCGGGTCCGGCGACGACCTGCCGGATGCAGGCGCCCTCGATTCGGATGACTCGGAATTCCAAAATGAGCTCAGGGCGCCGGCAGGTGCTCGGCAACGCGCAGCGGTGACGAAATCGCGCATGGCCCCGGGGATGTCCGTCTTTAACTCCAATACTGGAGTCACGGCACCCGTGACAGCCCCCACGGTTCCTCTGCGACCAGAAAAGACGGAATTGGACCAGAGCTATCTCGGGCTGACTCCACCCGCGCGTTTCGTGCAGACGAAAGTAGCGACGCCGGCTCTCAAGGAGGGATTCCATGTTTTCCCGTTAGTTCGTGGGCTGTGCTATATTGGGCGATGCACTGATGCTTCTGCAGCACGCAGGATAAGATTGACACGCAGGCAGTCGTTCGTTCAGCCCTTGTTCCGATACGCGTCGAGTTTGAGACGGACACACATCGAATCCGTGATTGTTTTGTTTGGAATCTCAATGAAGATCTCATCCGGCCGGAAAATTTCGCCGCCATCTTTTGTGCAGACTTGGATCTGCCTACGACGTGGGTCGAGACAGTGACAAACCAAATACGGGCGCAACTCGAGGAGCACGAGGCAATAGCGCGACTAGAGTTGTCCAGTGAAGAGTTGGATCAAGACGAGCCTGCGGCTGAATGCCGCGTCATTCTCAGTGTGCGATCCTCACCGGCTGCGTGGGTGTGGTTGACACTAACCTCATCCGTGCAGATTGATGTCCAGATTGCCACACATCATCTATTGGACCACATCGAGTGGGATTTGCTTTCGCCACTGACACCAGAGGACTTCTCACAAACCCTGTGCCGAGAGCTTGGACTCGCCGGAGAAGCTGTACCTCTGATAGCCCATGCAATACACGAAGAGCTCATCAAGCATAAGAAGGATGCAGTCGAGTGGGGTGTCGTCGACGGGGGCGGCATGCGGGATAAGACAGGACTGGGGATGAGCTCGGGATCTCGCGGACGAGGTCCCAAGCCCTTGGAAAGCGTTTGGCGGGACTGGCAGGAGGCGGACGAGTTCCGGACACGATTTGAGATCCTGTCCGCTGACGAGGTGGAGCGCAGGGAGATTGAGAGAGAGCGTGCCAGCCGGTTCGTGGTCGCTTATAGACTTGCGAAATACATCCACTCATCCTTCTCTGCAGACGACTACGGAGAGAAACGTCCAAGTTCCAGAGCTCACGGAGACGGCGGTTCTGAATTGTCGTTCCGTCGGCGGCCGTCTTATATCCGGCAAGGCTTTCCCGGTGCCGAAATATACGTTCGTTGTGTATCACGGAGATTGTGATACTATTGCCCACGCTGACTCGCCGGCTCACATGGTTTTGTGAGAAATATCACGCGAACCCTTATATGGCCGCCGATCCGTCAGTCTTCTTCGTACTTCCCTTCCCACATCTGGCAATGTTTCGCCTCCAACTGTACAAATCTACCCGCGCGCGGATTAGGAGATAGCTCCCGGGCGTTCTGCCAGGCTGGGTCTATGTAGCAACGCATACGGCCGTGCCGCTTGCGCGCTGTGAAAGCCTTGCAGAGCACGTAGAGCAGCGTCTACTATGTCAAGAAGCCAGCGCCAATCCTGACGTTCCCTCATGATCATCTTTCCACCTGACGAGTTGCATGAGATTCCAAGGTGTGCACTGGGCTATAATTGGGGGGCGTCGTCTGGTGAATTTCTACCTCCGCTCCTGCCCTCGATGTCCACTGCCCTCGAGGTATCCGAGGCGGAGCTCGTCGCTACTATCCTCCTCCTGCGCTACATAAGTGGTGAGCGTTTGGCCCACCCAATCGCGCCGGACTTGTTCCTGACGAGATTGCATGATGGCCGCCAGTCTTTTCGCTTGCGGTGCTGCTATACGACCACATTTTGACCTTTTCGGAGGAGGTGCGCTCGATATGGCAGAATCGCATTACTAGCTGGCCATCCAAGGCCGCGTTTTGGGTGAATCGGTACATGACCGAGGTGGTCATGATAAGTTCTATCAGCGGTGCGTCCCTCGGTGACTCCTACGATCGGCGGACTGGAACGGGATATACGCGCGCAGTGTTCAGCGGCGATTCTGGCTCTCGTTTGAACGATACTGTGAGTCACCGCGCTCTTGACGACGGTCCACGGCCTGACACGATATCCGCCACCCAGCGGTGCGCAAAGCGCGACTAGATCTACGTGACCCGTCCACCGACCCCGTCCCAGCTGCCAGTCGTTTCTGTGGTTTTTCGGCGCGACCATGATGATATTCGCGATTGCGTCCCACGGTGCGTGTCCGATCAGTCGAATGCAGATGTGGACGTGTCCTGACCGAGCGCATGCAGCGGTCATCATTATCAGGATGCACTCGCTGTGGGACGACCGGCGGATTGTCGCGCTGCTTCTCGTGGGCACGTTCTTCGTGTTCATATCGACGACCGCCGCGACGGGCATCAACTGCGTCCTGATACTACAGGGTGCGTGCAGATCGCTTCCCCGCGTGGTGCTGCAAAGGGAGCGGTGGCTGACGGGTGATCATTGTGTAGAGACGTTCAAGGCGTCGCCGATCTTCAAGATGTGTCTGCTGACGTCGAGCACCCGGTGGCTGCCTGCTACGTTCGGGATCCAGGTGGGTGCTGCTGCTGCTCCTGGAGCGCAAGGCGATCGCTCACAGCTGACGGGATTGATTGCGCGCAGTCGGGCCTCGACATCGTCATCATGGTTTTCATGGTCTACAGCGCGTTGGAGCGCCCCCACCGCACCAATAGCGAAGTCATCGTCTCGCTCCAGACGGACGGTGTGCGGTACCTCGTCGTATGTCGCTCAAATATGAATGGCTGTTTCTCGCCGGCTGACGTGGCTGGCTGATCAGGTCCTCTTCATCTTGAGAACGCTCTACCTCGTCAGTTCCCTGGCCTGGAATGTCAGTCCTCTCTCTCTCTCTCGACTGCAGTGACATAATCTGATGATGGCTTGTTCCAGCCTGGCCAATGCGTCGCAACTGTCCTGTAAGTCCCCGCAGCTCCCGTGTCGCGAAGGTTCCTGAAGGGATTTCGCACCAGCGCGTGTTGGAGTCTCAACTCCGTTATCACGACCAGGTTGCACATGCGGTTGGATGCGCTCCAGTTGCCCGGGGAGGGAGACCAGAACGGGCTGTTGCTGGACGATATCGTCTCGCCGAATACCCCCGCGAACTCGTCCTGGTGGGGAGTTTGAAGCGCATTTCCTTTTGTCTTGTGTGGTCTTGTCTTGTAACAGGTTTGCTTGTTGGAGGCGCGATGGCCGTCGTCGCTGTTATATGTAGATTATGTGGTGCTTTTCCTTGTAACGGGTTTATAAGTACTTGTTGTTTGCTGGCTGATCGCTACCATCCTTATATGTAACTCATGTTGTTCGCCTTTTGGCGCGAACCGCAAAGTTCCGGAGCCTGGGAGAGGCCATCATGGCTACAAGCTGGCCTGGACGTCCGTCGAAGGCGGGCGAGGGTTATCAGTGATATCGATTACTTACGCATGCTGACTCGCATCGCGGTGGTCCTGCTGACTGAGATGTAGGTTCAAGCTGGCTTCACCTGGAGCTCTGTTGCATTTGGAACAGGATACGTATTCGGAAATACGAGGCTTGCTACGTGACTGGTTAACAGCATGACCAAGTGGTCGATGAGCGCATAGAAGTTTCATGGGAGTGTCTCAGACTCTAATCTTGCTGAGAGCGACAAGCATTGCTCAGCGATGACTTACACACTGATGTGGTCAACGAGAGAGCCTGCAGTCAGTCGACATCAATCACGTGCGTCCGGTTTGTCAGCGAATATTGTTGCGCAGGACGAGTACGTCCACAGTTCTTCAACGCTTTCTACTATGTTGATTAAACTCAGACAGACTTTTCTATTTTTTCATACTAAACTGCCTGTTTCAAGATCGCCTTTCTGCCTTGGAAGTCTCATCGACCTTGTTCGTGCTCTGTTACATATCTGGCTGCTACGGTGCTTATCACCGGATAAGGGTCTACAAGTTGGTGAGGAGCCAGCGACAGAACATCTGCCTTCGGACGCCCAACGAGCCCAACACAGCCCTTGACTAGCCGACTCCTTTTTTAATCGACCGAGGTTGATCGCGGGTGTCTTCTTATCTTCCTTCCCCGCGCCAATGAACAACACCGACGTGCCCTACAAGCAGCTCAGAGGCGGGTCGGAGGTGTGCCTCAATGTGTATCCCCCGGCTGCGGAATTCCTGACCGGCTCCGTGACGCGCTTGCCGGCCGTCGTCTACTATCACGGGGGAGGCATGACCGTAGGGACACGCACGAGCTGGTTCCCGACATGGCTTCAAAGTACGCAGTTCTCCCGCGTCTGCTCCTCCTAGAAACCCGGATTCTGACGGGTGAACCCTCATCAGCGCGCCTGAACGCGAAGGGGATTCTGTTCATCTCGGCCGACTACCAACTGATCCCGGCATCGTCGATGCATGACGTCATCCAGGACGTGCAGGATCTCTTCGCGTTTCTAGGGAACGAGGAGACCGTGTTCAAGGTCCCCGGTGATGCCGGACGCACCTTCGGGGTTGACATGGCGTCCGTGGCTGTGGCCGGGTCGAGTGCCGGGGGTTATGTCGCCTATCTCACCGCGCTGCATGCCACGCCGAAGCCCAAAGCGGTGCTCTCGCTGTACGGGCTCGGTGCGGATTTCCTGGTGTGTTGATTCGGGCCTTCTGCTCAAGATCCCGAGCTGAATCCTGATAGAACCACCAAACGCTGGGTCTCAAATTCGAACCCTTCTTTCTCGGGCGCGAGATGCTTGATCCGATCGACTTTGCTGAGTTCGTTTACCCCGAAAACACCAAGCTGGATCCCACATCCGAGTCTACACTCACGTACTTCCCGACCACGCATCCGACGAAGCCGGGCTGGCCGTCGAACCCGCGGCTTCCCCTGTGCCGGCTGCTGCTGCAGATGGGCGTCTTCCTCGACTACCTGGCGGGCCAGCACGAGCCCAGCCTGTCTCTCGCGCTGCGCCCGCTGCTCGAGAAGTCCTCCGACCCGGCGATCCTGCAGGAAGAGCTCGGCCCATTGGTGCCGGAGGAGCACCGTCGGATTTTTCCGCAGCTGAACATCACTCCGGAGTTCCCCCCGACATTTTTCTTCCACGGATCGGAGGACACCGCAGTGCTCCCGTCCGACTCGGTGCATCTGCATTCGCTCTTGAAGGGCGCGGGTGTCGAGACCAAGATCATCATCATCGATGGGGCATCGCACTCGCTGGACTACCACAAGGACGCCGAGACGATGTACAAGGCGCATTTCGAGGAGATGGCCGGATTTCTGACCACGGCTGTGCTCGGGTCATAGCTTGGCAAATGAATCGCGCGAATCGCGATTTGTAGACAGGTAGAATTTTTTAGAATGTAGATATACCACATGCATCGATCGATCGATTTCCATCACGAGACGCGCCCTGTGCACTTCACTACCCACTCGGGTTTACCTACTGCATGTGCGGGGAGACACATGGCATTGTTGCCAAATCGCGGGCTCATGGCTGCGGCATTTGCCGGGGTTTTTCCAACCTGCTCAGTGTGGCGGCCGATGATGATCAGATGCCTATCACAATCCACGATCGAGCGTCAGCCGGCAATCAGCCGCTGTGCCCTTGCTTTTTCACTGCAACGTCGACGGCCACTGACACTCTCTGACGCGCGGCCAGGGCGACGCAGCCGGCCCAGGATGTCTGCATCGGCGCTCGATGCCTCATCGCGCTCCCGTCCGATAACGTTCAACGAGGCGAGCGAGCTGCACGTCTACGACACGTGCGTACCGGGCTTTGTGTGTGTTTGATCGCTGAGCTCATGCGGTGCCAGCCTGGTTCTAGCGAGCTCGTGGCTGAACACGTTCGCGTTTGCGTTCGAGATCGCGCTGTTCGGGTACTACTTCTCCCGCTGGAGGCTGCTTGCGCTGTACAGGTTCGGCCTGATTGTACTGCTCGTGAACGACACCCTGGCCACGCTATGCATCTACGTCAACACTTACGAGTCTCTGGTCACCAGCGAGGAGAACCCGATAGTCATATCGACGTTCTTGGTCTCGACGGGATTGTCAGCGCTGGTCGAGCAGTCCATTCTTGTCGTGCGTGCCACCGCTCATCGATAGTGTTCCGGACATCTGACGATCTCACCCAGCATCGCTACTGGAAATTGTGAGAAGCAAAATGCAGTCCACAGCGCTCGTCCTCATCCGATACCCCGCAGTTCCAAGCACACGTTATTCTGTGCTCTTTTAATGCTGCTCTCTGGCGCTCATGTGAGTTTGACCCATCTGTTGTCACCTTATCGCTCAGCGTTCTAGTTTTTGCTATCGATTGTGTCCGCCGCATACCCTTTACATAGCCGGCAGCAGGTCCATCTGGTGCGTTATTGAACCTAAAAAAATCTGCGCATACATGCTGATTTCTCACCGATAGACAACGTAATATTCTGTCTCTAATGATCCAGACACACTCTGATGCATCGCAGAATGGCAGCGATCGTGTGCTCAGTCGTCGATATCTTGATCGCCTTTAGCACGGTCTGGACGTTGAGCGGGATCTCGCCGGTGTGGCGCTCGACCCAGGCGATGATCCGCGCCATCTGCCTGAACGCCCTCGCGTCCGGCGCGGTCGTTGCGGTCGTCACCCTGCTTGCCATGGTATCCGATCTGCTCAAAGAAACTGAGAAGGCTTCCGGTGCGGCGCGCGTCTCTGCTCCGGCCGGCTTTGTTCTCGGTATTGACAGAGTTTGATTTGTTTGTTTGCCCAGCGTTCGGGATCTTCTTCCAGGTCATGGGCCGCGTGTACTCGCTCACGATCCTCGTCAATTTCATCCAGCGCCGGCGGGGCATGGGCGTCTCCCAGAACACGGGGTCGGATGCCGAGGCCGACGAGCCATCGACGCATGCCAACTTGCACTCCATACAATTCAGTGAGCACTTGCTTCGAATTCTGATCATGTGATGGGGTTGCGCTGAACGCCACTCTTTTTCCTTTTCAACAGCGACTCTCCCGGGGACTTCGGCCCAGGCGCCCTCGGTGCGCTCTGTGCCTACACCGGACGACACATTAGATAAAAGACCCGGCTCCAGGCAGGACTTCCGCACAGCAGGATCGGACCAGGCGGTGAGTAGTCGTCAGCTCATCGCGCCTCTTATTCGCTGGCTGATTTTTCCCGCGTGCGAACAGCGGCTGGACTCTGATTTGGCAAAATCCGAGGCGGCCTAACGCCCGTCTCGGCATGCTACTCTCGACCATGTTATCGAACGCAGATTTATCGCTATGTATACTACGAAATAATTCGGGCAAACAGGAAATAATCGTCCATGATCAAGCTTCGTGTAGCGCAATCACTCGCTGTTGACCCGTCAGATTTTTACCTTCCCGTGCCTTGAACCGCCCGGCAACTGCCGCTCCCGATCGATCAACTGAGTTGCTTGTCCTTGCTTGACTTGGAGGCCGACAGTCTGTTTGCATCGGAGCTCATCGACCTGCGCCGTCCCCCTGCCACACACACACGCCCGCGGGTTAAATGTCTACCGCCCCGGTCGACGCGTCCGACGCGATCAGAGTGCGTGCATCTGCACCTGTCATTCTTCGTCTTCTTCTTCTTCCTTCGCGTGCTCACCACTACTCTGCACAGACCGCGGCGCCTATACATGAACGATACGAGCTGCTGCGCCGGCAGTTTCTGGAGCTCGAAGAGGTCGGTCGAGCTTTTCTGAAAGTTGGTGGCTTTGTGGGATCTGATCGGATGGGTGCAGAAAAATAAGGAGATGAGCACCGAGCTCGAGCGAACGGGGGAGCAGTCCCACAAGATGGAGGAAGAACGAAAGTGAGTCGCGTCGCCGAAAACAGCAGGTCAGCCCAAGCTGACCGCTAGATAGTGCATTATTAGAGCGCATCAGCGAACTCGAAAATCAACCTGGTTTCGCAGCCACTGTCGGCGAAGTCGAAGGCTCCGAAACCGCGCCACTCATGCTGTCGAGCGCTGGCACGCGACTGCCCATACGACCGGCGGAGAGTCCCCAGGACGGTGGCAGCTCTTCGGAGACAGGGAGAAAGCGTTCGCGCGATAGTGATGAACTGATCGCGCTCGCACCCGATGCCAAAGTCCCTCGCACGGAGACTGGAGCGGTATCCGCTGAGGGTGCCGCCCCTCCAGCACTACCGACCCCAGCCTCCTCTGAGCCCGCCGCGATTGACGCTGCTCCGCGACAAGTCTTGAATCCGTATTTCTCATATCTCGGTGGTGCGGCTCCTCCTCCGCCCCCATTCCCGTATCCACCGTACCCCTTCTATATCGGCGCAATGCCGTACCTAGCGCAGCCGCCCCCTGCCGCATTCACACCCGTTCCGCCGCCCTCACCACAGCGCGCTCCCATCCCCGCCCCCGCCGCCTTCCCATCGGCCCGGCAGACACACGCAGCCAAGCCCAAGCGGCTGAAAGCGCACACGGTGACGAGCAAGAGCTACAGCATCCCCGTCGTGCCGCGGGACAAGCTCGGCAAGCCGCTGCTGCCGCTGAACGTGGGCATCATGCGCGTGCTGCGGCTCGGCGACGTGTGCATGCGCGAGCACTTCCACACGGAGCGCTACATCTTCCCCGTTGGCTACGAGGTCACGCGGCGCTACTTGTCGACGGTCGACCCGCACGCGGAGGTAGTGTACCACTGCAGCATCCTCGACGGCGGCGACGGGCCCAAGTTCCAGATCATCCCGTCCGACGCGCCCGAGCGCCCGGTCATCTCGGGCACCGCGACGGGCGCATGGTCGGGGATCGTCAAGACGGCCAACGCGCTAAGGAGGCGGCAGCACTCGAATTCCGTCTCGGGGCCGGACTTTTTCGGGCTCGGACAGAACACGATCAAGCATTTGATCCAGGAGCTCCCGAACTCCGACCGCCTGCGAGACTACGTCTGGCAGCACTTTGTCGAGGGCGGGCCCCTCGGCGGGCGGCATGCCGCTGTAGTCCCTGCTTTGCCGGAGGAGTACGAAAGCGTCGTCGGGCGGATCGGCGCGGCGGGCTCGGCTTCCGCACAGGCCATGCTGGCCCCGCCGAACGAGGAGGACAGGCAGGAGAAGCGGAGCTATTACCCCCCGCATATTCTGTCCCAGACCCCGAACCCTCCTCCCTCTGCGTCCCGCGGCGCATCGCATTACCTACCTCGCACCGTGCAGCCTTCGGATACGTTCCCAGTAGCTGCACCCTCGTTTTCGGCCCCTGATCCATCCTGATTTGTTCTCCTTTTTTGAGTGATGGGACCCGCTGCCCCGCTGCCCCGCTGCCCCGCTGCCCCGCTGCCCCGCTGCCCCGCTGCCCCGCTGCCCCGCTGCCCCGCTGCCCCGCTGCCCCGCTGCCCCGCTGCCCCGAGCACTCCGGTATTCCACTGCTCCCACTGGATACCCGGATCAGCTGCTGCCCATTCTGCGGGAGGACGCACCTTGTCTTTACTACGGCACTGTGCTGACTGCGAGTGTGATTGTGTGGGCAAAGAGAGAAGTGGCATTGCGTGGACACTGGATCAGACGGAGGTCGGGTCTGTTCCAGTACTATGCGGTGCGGAGATGTTTCACTTCTCCTAATCATTCAACACCCAAGGTAAATGGCTTGTGAGTCTGAGCGCTTTCCAGGTGGGTGTGGATCCGCTATCCTTCTAATGAGGCCGCCGCTCAGAGCAAAAGTGCTCAAGCACACGCCCCGCGGGGCCTTGAATTCGTTCGTACTTCAGTGAATAGATCTACATATGCGAATGGAAAGTGTCGACTTTGATTTCTATCCAAGCAAATAATAAGGAACCTGTAATTCAGTGCAGGCTGGCTGCACTCTCTGAGGTGGTAGCGCAGCAGTTTCTGCAATGAGAATGTGACTCAATTTGCTCCTCGGGAAACGGCAGGCATAAACAGCAACTGGCCAAACGCCAGCTGGGTCCCCCAACCGTCTCAATCAAATCGATTTAGTCCATAACCCTCTCATGAAGCCAGCACCCGATGTCGAGGCGGCGCGATCATATGTATTAATATTGCACCAGTGAATGTCCTCATAAGAAAGTACTACTTGGGGCTAATGGCTGGCTTCGGCAGGCTCACAGGCGTCGGCTTGAAGTTCTTCTGCGGGACCAGTTTCCCAGAGCCAGAGTACGAGTCGAGCGCGGCAGGGGCCTTGAACGGGTGGCATTCTGTGTTGAAGACATCTATGAAGCAGCCCTGGGTGTTAGACCTTTAGCAACCCTGGTCAGGCAAAACACGCACAATCGTCCAAGCTGATATGCGACGGATCGTCGAAGGTGAGGAACAGGTATTTGAGGACCTCGGCATACCTGTTCGTCGCTCATCAACTCCCTGATCCGTGCTCAGTACGCGAGTAGACGCACCAGAAACTCTCAGTGATGTCAATCAGCCCTCCATCAGCGCTATTCACGTCGTTGAGCGAACCAAAGGCCACCGTGGCGGGCAGGAACTTGTTGAACGAGTTGATCGCAGAGACCGCGCGGTCGAGGTACTTGGTCAGCCCGGTTACGCGCCATGCGTAGAAGTTGGACTCGAGCACCTCGGGCCGCTGGATGTAATCAGACCCGGTGATGTAGTATCCGTGCTTCCTATAGAACTTCATTTGGCTGGCCGTGATGGGGCTTCCACCGGTGAAGTTTCCGTCAGCGCTGATGAACGCAAAGTTCTCGGGTCCAATTCCAGTTCTGCATCAGGTCGTCAGGGTGGGAAAACTTTTCATGCGCGGATGGGTGACACCCACACTGTGCTGGCATATGTGTTCTGGAGAACGATTCATTCAAAGCCGCTTACGGACTGGCCATGTGCATCACTCACCCAGCAACCATCGTTCAAGGCCAGAGCGACGTCGATGATCGTCTGGTTCTGCAGCAGCTTACCACCCAGAAGCCAGTTTCCAGCATAGAAACAAGCCAGGTGGCTGTCCGCCGTAGGTGAGCGTCCCAACAGAAGAGCGGCGCGGATACACTCACGAGCCGACATGACGAATCGTGCCAGAGTCGTCTTGGTCCGCCAGATACGTAAAGTTCTTGACGGTTGAGGTCTGTCATGATTGTGAGCATCGAGTCGGCCTCGTGGTTTGAGCGGTCCACCTTGAGCAAGTGGGATATCGACGAATCGACCGCAGTCTGCATGTCAGCAGGATCAGTACGCCTCTGGAGGACATGACGGAACAGCCTAGACCTTCCATGTATCGACAAAGGTCGTGTCATCGGTGTTAGTCAGACGAGGGTACTTGATGAGGTATTCAAAGTACGAGTCGCTGCCTCCTCCCCAGGTCTACATTTGTCAGATTCCGGAAAGAGAACGAGAAATCCCAACTGACGAGATACGCGTCTGCGAATTTGCCGGTCGCCGGGTCAATAGATTGAGGAGCGAGACCCGGGAGGGGCGTGGCCTGTAAAAGTTCAAGTCGAACGTCATGACTTGGGTCAGCGCACGGACCAGATTCGCCATGTGCAGCACCGCATTCTTGGTGAGATTGGCATAGGTCTGGTTTCCGGTGTATTGGGTCAACAGGTGCCATTCGAGCGTCAACGTTCCAGCTTCAGCGATGTTGGTCTGCGCGTTTCTCATCAACGCTCAACCAGGCTCAGAGGGGAAACTCACCAGTGCGATGGCAGGCGCATTGTCGCTGAAATCGATGTGGCCGTAGTTTATGACGTTACCCTGGAAAGTTGAGCATGCGTGCGGCAAGCTGTGGGGACACGGGGAGCCTCACATTGATCCACGAGAAAGCGAGTTTGTCAGCGACTTGCTGAGCTTTCTGGATGAGAATCGGGTGCTGCTCCCCACTCAGCTGGTACGCAGAGATGAATCCTGCTACAAAACGGATAGTGGTCTCTGGCACACGGCATCAGACATCAGCTTGGCGGTCGACCCTGTTTCGCACGCACCGAAAACGCTGTGGTCTCGTTATCAGACTTATTCCGGGAAGGGGAACTAGATATAGACACACCTGACGGTACCAGCTTCTGGCGACGAGTTGAAGTCCACGGTCTCCCAGTAGGGCAAAGTCGCGTTGAACAAGTCCTCCCGCCCCATCACCAGCTTCACACACCCAGCGTCAGAATGATCGATCACGCAGCGACCACAGCAGCGCCTACCATCGTTCCCTGCGGTCATAAGCGAGGCTCAGGTATGACAAGAGGAATGAAACGCACCAGAGCGTCCACGATTGAAGCGCCCCACCCACCAAGATCATTCTCGCCCGCCAGACTGACGGGCAGTAGCTCATCGAATCCAAACGCATACTTCTCGTACGCATCCCACGTCTTCACGAATATCTCCTCGACCGCACCCGAGTGGTTCGCGCTGATGTACTTCTTGGGGACGCGCAGGCCGGGCTTCTGGACCGTCACGCCCGCGGCGGCGGGCCCGACAAGGGCGAGGAGGCTCAGCGGAGAGAGGAGCACGACGGGACGCATGCTCTAAGGACACGAAGGGGGGAGTGAGACGAGGGGATGACGCGGGGCCAGCAGGGACTTGTGCGCTGTTTATATTTATAGTGCGGGCAGCGCGGATGAGCGTCTTCTGACCATCTTGACGGTGGATGATTTCTCAGAGCATAAGCGCGATATGTATATTTGGCAAAGAAGCAGAAGATGGAAGGCGTCGGGCGGACCACGACGCGGGCTGGGGGATGCTAGCGAGTCGATAGCTCGAATGCTAGGCGGACGAAGCCCCCGTCGCGCTTCTGCTCGGAACGTGTATTGGAACGCGAGTCCTCCTTAGGGCTTCAATCCGGGGCAAGCCGTTAGGGCGCCGGTGTCGGTTATGTATGTATGATATAGTCCCATACGTCGAGGGACGGAGTATGTAACGGCAGCAGGGATCCCGAAGACGTGGGTGTGGATGTGGAGAGGAACACTGATAGAGAATGATGGCTCCGGCAGGACACGGTCAGGTGCTCACAAAGTCGTAGTAATCAGTTCACGATCGGACACGTTGCTCAGTTCGAAAAGTTGCGACAGGACTACATGGAGCAATACAAGCACCCATGGGATGGTAGGTACGGATGCTCTCGGATGGTTGGTTAATCCCCACTGTTTTGAACGTCCTCGAGTGAAATAACCTCGTGCCATTCAAGAGATTGTTCGACGGTGAGGGAACAGATCGAGAAGTCGTTATATACATATCATTGATATCACTACAGGTGAATTCCCACTGCCCGGCATCCCCAGGTTTTAGCTGTCTTCGGCGACGTCAACGTCGCTATCTTCTCCGTCGCTTCCAAGCATGTGCTCGATCGCACGCTCTCTGTAGATGATACTGCAAGCTCTCGTTAACGAATCATGGATCTGATGCATCGTGCGACCACACCCACCTATCGAACATCTGCACTGTGTCTTGCTGCTCTTCGACCCAATGCCCGTCCCGCTCATCTTCGCCGGCAGCGCTCGCCCACTCCCAGCTGCTTCCGATGGCCCGGGTGTTCTGCGATGTTCTGGACAGCCCGCCTAACAGAGACTCCGCGGCGCCATGGAGGACGACATGGGCCTCGACACCGGAAGTCGCAGCCACAAGCATTTCTGGATGCACGATCACAGTGTTCACGATCGAGTGGTGCCCGCCGAGTCTTGCCAGAGGCGTGTCGAGCTCAACCGGGACATATCGTGGCCCGTGGATGTCGTCTGCGAAAGCTTTGTGTCCCGCAGCTTGGGACGTGGCTCGATTCACACATGAGGATCACTTACCTGTGACACCAGTGTGCTCCTCCGCTGTCCAGTCCCGATACGACATCACTCGCCGCCGCTCAGTCAGTTCATGAGACGGGGGAAGAGCCCAGATGTACGCCCTGAAATCGTCAGAGCCGGCAGCATATAATGAGTCCGTGTCGAGCCCCGGCCCGCCAAAGGACCCGTGCTACACAGATGGTGTGTCTGACGAGGAGAGAGACGTGATGATGCCAGGTGACGCGCCTTCATGGTGCACATGTTCTGGTATGTGCGTTCGTTTACAGGCACGGGGGTGCCATCGGGGAGATTTGGTGCGCTGCAGACAGCGACAGGATATGGATCGTTCAAGTTGTAGATTGTTGGGTGGTGATGCTGGCTCAAGGTCAGCAGGGTTACAGTGCCGTCGACTTTGTCGATTCACGAGGTTGGTAGCACAGAGTTGAGAGCCATCACTGTTGAATACAACACTGCTTGTTTCCAGACGAGCCAAGGAGGGAGAGGAGCGACGACAAATGTAGGTATGATACTGCTGACGGCGGTGAGTTCGGTAAGCTGGAGACAGGATGAGATTGCACTGACGCTGTGCACGACACCTTCCTTCGTTCTCGAAGACCGTGGTCCGAAAGCCATCCGCGTATCTCGCAAACAGACCCGCCCTCGCGAATCACTCGACAGGAAGATGTGCTCCATCATGGGGTGGAATTGGACACTCGTCACCTCCGCATCGAGTTGGAGTGTGTCCTGGGCTCGGATACGTGCTCTTCCGTCGTGCATGAGGATCTTCCCGTCTTCACTGTATCAGAGTTAGCTAGAAAGCAGCCTTGTCTCCATACGGACCTGGCCGTAAGGAAAACCTCATCTTGAACAACATGGGGAGAAATAGCCCGAATAGAGTCCTTCCATTCTCTGAGCCACAGATCATCCTAGTCATCATGGATCACCATTCACCTCGTGGTCATAAAAACGAGCATCCGGAGTGTGGAAAACCTGTGAATCTAATCCGCGTTCCAGATGAGCTGCGGCGTCGAACTTGAGGACCGTCTCGTCGACTCCGCCTCTGAGACACATTCAGCCAGTGTCCCGCAACAAACAAGACACACGAACGAGAATATGAAACGGTTGTGAGCAGAAAACGCCAGGACAAATATGTTCCTCTGCACACCACTGATCAAAGTCACTCAATAGACCCTGAGCGGCCTCGGCTCACAACAGGACCGCGGAAGGTGCATGATGGTCTTTTCTTCACGGTCTCAGAATGCAGATCCCAGAGATGGATACTGAGATCTGGGCAGGGCATGAGGTCAGACCGACCAGCATCGGTGGCACTCGATCTGCATGCATGCTCACCATCCCCACCGCTGGCAAGAAACCGGCCATTCTGGGACGAAAATGCGAGTGCGTTGACACAAGAGTCGTGCGCCGTAAGCCGTCTATCATCCTCGCAGTCAGCCTGCCCAGTCTTGTTTAGCGGACGGACCGAGGACGGACCGCGAGTACGGGAACCCGCGGCTCAGCAATGCCGTGGCCGCGTGCTTCCTCGGCAGCTGCGCACCATGAAATGTGGGATTGGGAGCCAGGTGCGTCGAGCGCCTCAATCGGGTGGTGCGCGTGGTGGCGGGACTACCAGTGGAGAGCTCATGCAAGGAGTCGAAGTCCATAGCAAGCCATTGGTGATCTCGGTGACGCAGTACTGTCACGTCACAATCAGCTTCTAGCAGGTCGGATGCCGACTCCCGTCCAGTCTCGAATTGCACCGAATTGTTTTCGTCCTATACTGTAGTGTCTCGGGAAACAGATCGCGCATGCCGGCCGGTGTGCAACGTAGTGTTTCCCCGAATTCCATCCGAGAGCACTCGAGCCTCGGACGCTTGTCCAGCCCATCACAGGACTTCATTGATGGAGAACGGAGCTCCGGGGGGAGTTTCTGCGGACATGGGGATTGACGGGTTCGACGGTGCACGAGCCAGGGATTAGAGAAGGCCTCGTTCGCGGCAATCATCTCTCCCCCATGGCGCTCCCGTTGGCTACCAGAAGCTGTTCGACTGTTCGATAGCCTTCTGTTCCATGCGTGCTCCTTCTGGACCCACAGACCCAGCCTGGCCGACCGTTGCCTGGTCCAAGTCATCCCCGCAGATACCCATCCCGTTCGCGCTCGACGACCAGTCGTCTCTCGAATAAGCAGCGTGGTCATGTGCGCCGCCGGACTGGGGCTCGGCGTTGACTGGACGATAGCGCGACTTCCATACATTGTACAACATCATGATTCCGATACCCGTGACCCGGCATCCCATACAGACAGGTACAATATGTTTGTATGCAGCTGCTGCCTTTGTGCTTGATTAATTGGGAATATATTCTCCGATATTTGAGCGCCCTGCAACTCCATATTACATACGAAATTATATGTTATCAGGCTGTCTACGGTGCCGAGGACGTCCGCCCCATGGGGTCTTTGGAGGGATTTCTCCTAGCAATCGCCGAGGGTTGTGGGGTTGGTCTCCTGCTGCTATGGGATCAGGATTCAGCATTTCGGCCGCCTTCTCACATGCTCAACTGTCTTGTCGACAAGCTGTTCAGAGTAATTGCCGGGGTAAACAAGCACTGGGCTGCAAAAATAGCCATGCAAATTTTCCTTGCCACCCTGTTCGTTGCCTGCAACGTGGAAGCCCTGCAGAATGGTCGTTCCAGGGAGCATCGGTGGCAGAATATAACTGCCGCCGGGTGAAGTCGGGCGCGCTTAGGCGCACTGCAAGTGCGAGGAGCCTCGATCAGCCTGAGTCAGCCAGAGTGCCTCGCCTATCCTCGCCCTGAAAAACATCTTTCACATGCCGGCCGGGGCTTCGGTCCGGCTCAAGATTATCGCGGATAGTGATCGGTGCGGGGAAGATCTGACGCGGGACAATTCGGGCACTTAGTTGCCTAGATGGATCAACCCATCTCCGCCGCTTCTCTCTTCCTCACCACTACCAACAACCCTTCCGCCATGGCCGCGCAGTCCAGTGCACAACCTCGTCCGTACAAATGCCCATATCCTCTATGCGGCCGTGCTTTCAGTCGGCTTGAGCACCAGGTATGCCACCCTACAATATTGTTACCCCATGCGAGACTGATTTTTACTGCGATTACCTTTCAGACTCGGCATATTCGTACCCACACTGGCGAGAAGCCCTTCGTGTGCAATTTTCCCTCGTGCGAGAAACGTTTTTCGCGCTCTGACGAGTTGACGCGGCATTCGCGCATCCACACCAACGACCCCGCGCCGCCCAAGAAAAAGGCACGCAGCCGAGCAGGGAGCGACGATGAAGACTATGCACGACCCACCGATAGGAGCCGAGACTCGGACGACTTCCGTTCGCATTCTGCCTTCACCACCCTGTCGTCAGTCGCCATGGACGAGCTGTACATGCTGGAGCGAGACGAGGCAAGAAGGCGGGCTGAATACGAAGCGAGACATGCGGCAGCCTTGCGGCGAGTAGAATCCCACGAGCAGGAATCCCCATATCATTCTCCGCAACCGAGGGAACGAGAACGGGAAAAATCGAGCAAGAACCATCGGCGGTTGAGCGGGCCTGCGTGGCAGATGACACCTGCGTCGCGCGAGCCCTCGGTGATCTCCACCCCCACTTCCAACGTCCATTCCCGATCTACCTCACACATCCCACCCATTCCCGGTGACCGCCGCGACAGCGCATCGCCCCCGTCCGAGCACGCCACGAGCGACTCCGAGGGGCTAGTCATGCGGAGCGGGAAAAGCACATGGAATCCGACCCCCAGCACATCCCCCTTCCTCGGACCGATGAGGACATTGACGCTCCGCTCGCGGGGCAACAGCCCTCCGCCTCTATCGCTCGAAGGCCCCGCGAACGCCGGGAATGGGCACAGCCAGAGCCACTCCAACGGAGCCCCTCACCCGCAGCACTTGGCACATTCGGTCCGACTCGCTTTCGGGATGACGCCCATACACGCCGCGCCCGGCGCTCCGTATCCCAGCCCATCAGCAACGCAGCACCAGCCGCCGCCATCATATCCGCGGACGAGCAGCTGGCCGTCCTTCCCGCATCTGCCGTCCGGGTCCAGCTCTTCGGCTTCGACGTCGACAGCTGGCAGCTGGAGCGGCTGGAGCAGCGGCAACGCAAGCGGTGGAGCGAGTGCTGCGTCGAGTATGCCCCCGTCAAGGAGCGGAAGTCCCCCGATAAGATTGCCCCCACTGAAGATACCGGCTAATTACGATGCCGCGCACGGGCCTGTCTCAGGGCCCAGGTCGAATCCTGGCTCGCATCCGGGGTCTCCCCGCGCGGAGACGACGTCCATCGAGGAGCGGGTCGAGCTGCCTGGATTCAGCCAGTTCGAGGCCGCGTCTCGTAACTTCCAGTGAAGCAATCTAGGCTACTTCTCTTCGGCGCACACATCTAATCCGGGGACACCCTAATCTGTTTACTCTATTTATCTGTCTATATACCGCCTAGAATCCCTTCCCATCGCCCCCCTGCCATGTCCTGTCCCCCTAGCTTGTACTGTACTCACTCTGTCCGCACTGCACTCCGACGACTTGATAGACACAACTGCATAGATTGTTACCATTACAGCCTGTAGATAGAATGACTCGCAATTCGTCACCCGTTGACACTAACCCTTTTATCACTGTGGGGAAAAGAACCAGATCTTCTGTGCGTACCCGTCTTCGCCGGCCCGGACTGTCAGGCCTGTCAGATTTCGGGGGGCCTGCGGGGAAGTACCCCACACCACTCCATAGAACGCTTCTCCTCCTGCGGAGCAAGCATCGGAGATAACGGAAGTCTCTATCATTGGGACTGCGGCGGCATCCTGCCTGCCCACACATATACGTTCATTCAAATGTGGATCTCATACGAGCACTTGGCACTGGCATCCTGTTGTTCCCGCCGTTCCCTCCGTTGGCTGTGAGCCGTACGTGAAGTTTCCTCGTCCATAAGGTCTTGCTTATATGTGCCACAGGGCTGTTTCAAACTCAGATCTTGCGCGCGCGGAACCTGCGTCTTCTCCACCGGTTCCACTCATGTTCGATCGCCTCCCGTGATGGCATGATATTCCTTCTCGACCCAGACATCTGGGCTTGGGCTGGCGAGCTACCGAGTCTATAAGCGGTCGAGTCTCTGGATATAGCGCATCGAGAGGACCTTGTCTGATGTCTTGCATCGTCAGCTGACCAACGCCCACCATCTCAACTGCCCTTGTGACATTGCAGCACGCGATGGCCAATTCGCTCTGGGAGCGGGGAGCAGACCCTCATCGTCGATTTCATCTGGAACGTAGCGGGGAGAACAGAGGTTCGTTTCACAAGACAAAGACGCGCTTGTGTCCGGTGTGCAGGCCAAGCGTGCCTCGGTCTTGTACGGGATCCCGCAGGCCGGGCTGCAGGCAAGAAATGCAGGGCTGACAGGGCTGACACGGAGCCACAAGAAACACGTTCCGCGTGAACGTGTCCCAATCGAGCGCAATGTCACCGTCTAGCGAGGAAGTGAAATAGAACCGAAGGTGGGTCGACCGGATCCTAGCCAGGTGTCAAGTCAGAAATACACCCTTGTTTTCTGATGCTCCACGACCACGGAAGCCAGCCACGATTTTCAAGTCCGTGATGCACAAGGAAACAGTCTCGGATTGCCACCAGAAGAGGGAAGAGCAATGGTGGTGTCCGTGTCCATTAGCATGAGAGTCGCAAGAGATCTCCCACGGTTGATTCAGAGTCAGCGAAACAGTATGTATGTAGCGCATTATTCTGTCGTTCGATTCATCACGTCGCCATTTCTCACCGGGGTCCAACGGGTCATCCAGATCATCTCACAGAGCTGCGCACACTAGAGAGCCATCCGGCAAGAGAACGGAACAAGCACCGGGATTCATAAGTTGACAATTCCATGGAAAAGTGGCTCAGGCATGGGAATGTCTGGTTTCGTTTGTGGAAGAGAAGTGCAGCTGACGAGGCAGTTCCGAGCCCCGACCTACCCGTGACGTTCTATCCCTATTCCTTGTCAGAAGACGCCAGATGGGGAAGACGATCCTGAACCGCCTGCAGTGCTTTTTCTGCTTGAAATCGCGAGCTGGATATTGGTTGAGGCGATAGGTACCACGTCGGAATGAGTCGAGTTTCATCTGCAAGTCGTAGTCACTGGCAGTCAGGGGAGCGAAATACCTTTTATGAAAAATTCTCACATTCTTGCTGATTATTGCGAGCTAAGTCTTGGGATTTGCATATTCTTCGAAAGAAGGAAGAGGGTGGACCAGTTGAAGGCCAAGATCATTCATTATGTCAAGGTCACGCGTGACACAACGCGTCTTCTCACTAACGACCATGGCTTGGAACGCGACTGGGGTCTTGAAGTACTGTGACGACGCCAAGACAATCGCTGAAGCCGAAAGACTATTTCGTGAGGCGCGTCGTATCACGGCGCCAGGCTCAGGGCATGACTTGGGTGAGAATCGCACGGCACTCGAACCCATTTGTGCCTACATTGCGTCGCAGAGGTGCGTTCTTTCTGTCCCTATCGGCCCGCCCCTCCTGCCTCCTCACAACTTCGATGTGCACCCAGGCTTAATAATACTCATGTCACCATCGACGCGGCGCGTATTGCTTCGTGCCAAGCCTTGGGCCCTTTCAAGAAGCTGCTCGCGAGAGTGGAAAAGGCGCTGGAGAGCACGGAAACCAAGGCTACCTCAGCGGAATCCCCGACCTTCGCCAAGATTCGTATCGAGCATTACCAGAAGACTCCTTTGAGGATGCTCGGGTATATGGACAAGATTATGGGACTCTTGGTAGAGAGCTTTGCTGAGAAGTACAGTGAGACGGAAATGGTATGCGCTACATTCGCGTGGGTGTGCAACCAGACTGGAGTAAACACGGCTTCCTTCTCGCCATGACCTCAACGCTGAACGCCGCCGTAGGATAAGGAACAAGCAGTCTCGCTCGATGCATTCGAGGCGAAGTACAGAGTCAGGAGGGGGAAGATGAAGACCGTCACGAAAGACATCGATGAAGTCTGCGACAAGCACATGGCGGAAGCTGTCCGGAGCGCGTATCAAGCGGTGCTCGAATCGACACGGGCCATCTCCCTTTCCCCTCGCAAGTCCCCGCGAAAACACACACAACCACAGACCCCTTCTCGACACGAGCAGATCTTCGGCACGCCCCGGAAGCGCAAAGCAGCGGAGGCCCCATCCGACTCTGAACCGGAAGATACCTCCGCATCACCAACCAGACAGTCCAAACGTCTCAAAGCGGCCGGCCTCATCACGCTGGAATCCATCAAGCGCATGCAATCGACCCCGTCTTCACCCTCCAAGACACGGCAGTCTCCCTCCAAATCCGCGCTCAGGACGCCCTCTGCCACCGCCGCCGCTCCCGGTACGCCGAGCCGGCCGTCGAAGTCGGTGCAGATGGTGTCGATCGCCGAAGCATCGTCCTCGGACGATGACGAGGAGGACGAGCTCCCAAGAGCCACCCGGCGCCGTGTGCGGCCTGTGTTCAGGGACCAACTGCAATGGGGATTGTGTGATCCACGACTGCAGATACCCAATGCAAAACTAGGGGGAGGGATCAAGGGACGACCGGCGAGGAGGAGCTTGGTATTTCCTGATCTACGGCGGAAGGATGGCGACATGGATGTGGACAGTGACTAGGCAACGTTTTTGGGTACAATGCATTAGAGTCTCGAGCTGCCAAACCTGAGACAATCGGAAACTTCCTTGCTCGGGGCAGAGCTTTCTTTACTGGGGATGGCCCTACTACATACCACGTCGTAAACGTAATTCATTTGTAGCTACTCTCTACAGTTTTCCTGAACTGGTATCAGTGATTTCGACGATCTGCTCATACCGGGGTATGCCGGGAGGTTGAGCTGATGGTCTTCAACCACACCTCTGGAATGTCAACGTGTTATAGCCATGAGCGATGGCACAACCAACTGAACTCACGGGGGAACAAATCGACCGCCGAGGAAGTGTCTGCCCTTGAACGCTCTCACTCCCTCCTTCGGAGCAGTCAAGCTGAGCAGCACATCCGGCTGCAGCCCTACCCCCGCGTCGTTGCCCGCCTCGACATCCCACCCCGATGGGATATCAACCGAGACGATGGGAAGCCCAGACTGGGTCAGCAGCGGCAGAGCGGCGTCGAACGGTGCGCGGATCGGAGGTTTGAACGAGAAACCGAAGATGGCATCGAGAATGACGTCGGAGGACGCGAGGGCGGAGACGAGTGAGCTGATGTCCCCGGTGTCGAGGGTCTTGATGTTCATGTTTTTGCATTGGGTGTGGAGACGCTAGGACAGTTGAAGCCGCGGGCAGGAGGACGAGCTGAGTGCCCTTGTGCGTACCTTGTAGATCTCCTTCGAGCCGGGCTAGACGTCCGCTCAGAATGTGTGTCCACTGGAACGATCGGTTTACTCGACTTTCGGCATGTACAGAGTTGGCTGATATCCGAATTGTGCTTTTGTCGAGAGTCATACATATCTTGGGCGACTTGGAGGAGCGATGGACTCACCCAGGTGTCTGGCGGCAACCAACCCGTCTCCACCTGGAGAAAACATGGAGCATCTCACACCGGCATGCTAACTCAATTGCAAACCTTGATTCCCTGGTCCACAGCAGACGAGAACGCGGGGATGCTGTTTGGAGTCGTAGACCTTGGCAAGCGTTTGTGCACACGCAAGCCCAGCAAGCTCCATCAGCTATTCAACTGTCAGCGCGGACATCGTAGAGCGTTGTTCAGTAATCATGCCTGATCGAGGCTGAACGCGCCGACTGCGCCCATCAAGTCATCGTCGATCTACAGCTCAAGCTCAGGCACGAGTGTAGATGCTGATTCGAGAGAGAGAGAGGAACTTGTTGCGCGAGTCTGGCAGTAAGATAACGCATAGACATCGGGACGTCAGATGTACTGTATGCAAACGAGTAAGCCACAAGTCAACGCTGGAGCACAGAAGGTGAGAGCGACGACCCGAATAGTGATGTCATCATATCGAATACGATCTACCCTACGGTCAACCAGACCTATGCTCGCTCACCAGCCTCAAATATCAGGTTCGGATCCTGCAGGTTTTCGGACTCACTTCTATAGAGACCAGACCCAAGTGGCTGATTGCCATTTCAGTGTTCGCGCTGAAAAATAGCTGATCTTCTCGGACAAGGAGATATTGCTGCAAGATGTGCGTGTCGAAGATCTTCGACCGCAAACCAACTCTAGATATCTGCGCGAGGATTTTATGTGCACAGGGTAACTCGTGGTCACCAGCAGCAAGGGCATTCAGGGATAACGCAAAAGGCGGTGAAACATGGGAGCTACATTCCAGAAATTTACATTGTTTTCATATAATGGTTTGTGTGTTCTCTGCCGGAATGGCCAAGGAGCTCAGGCGCCAACGCCAATGGCACTGAGATAATCGATGCGGTGGGGGTTGACATCTGTCACCTCGCTCCGGTTGTGCGGTATCCACTTGGGCTCATCCTGTCGGTGATCAGTTGACGCAGCGCAGAGCGGGAAGCGCCGTGGCGAGAGAAAGACATGCCTGGAACAGCCGCATGGCCTTGATGTTGTTGTTCGAGTCCAGGGTGAAGCGGTGGTAGATCCCAGCGGGCAGAACGAGCAGGTCACCGGCGTCAAGAGCAACACGGATCCAGGCGTCTGAAGGGGTTTCTAGGACAGGATGCAGATCTTCAGTAAAGACAGACTTGGACCGGGAGAGCCGAAGAAACGCACCTCGAACGTCAAAGTATCCGCTACCACTCATAATGTACCGGATCTCTTCGTCCTCGTGCATGTGCCTGCCCACGAATAATCAGAGAGCGGCCGGGAGAGAGGCATGGGCGCTGGCGCACTCCTCGAAGAAGCCTTTAATCTTCGCCTCGTAGATCTGAATGGATTCGTCAGTATCCTGGGGAAACCTCGATTCATGTGAGCGCACATCGCCCATTCCTTCCTTCGAGACGTTGATCATGTCCCGATTCTTGTATCCCCGCTCCTTCGCAATGGCGTTCACGTCCGTTTCGTGGTTTTCGACCGGGATGTGCCAGTGGAGGACATTCAGCTTCTGGAGGACGTCATCGGAGACGGGGCGAGAGGGCACGTAGTCGTGGGGGAGACGCTGGTCGCCGGGGACGTTGTCGAAGTAGTAGGCACGCATGGTCGTGATGAGTGAGAGCAAGGAATCAAAATTGCGTCAGTTCATGTCGCGATCGCACCAAAAAAGGAAGTGGGCAGAGTGTGGGTGCAGGTCCGAATTCAAGCTTGCAAGCAGGCCTTGAGTATTACAATCCACAAGCTCGTCTAGAAACAATGATACAGATATACAAGTTGTCTGGCATAGATAGTATCGTGATGAGTCGTACAGGTTCATGCATGTGAGATAGATAAATGCATAATGAGGAGGGTTTCCGGATCTAATCTAATCTCTGGTCAGTCGTTACTCGACTGATAGTCAAGATGGCCACGACTCCGTCTTGAGGAATGTTGTGGTTGATGCCTGCGCCAGCGTGAGTGTCTCTGAAATTCGAAAGGGAGCTGTTATCACTGACCTTTCTTTCCGGGTTCCAGCAGCCCAACACGCCACTCCACAACAGCGCTCCACTGGATCCGCTCTCCTCCCGTCTCAGGCCACGGCCATTGTTCGCTTCGCAAGTCTCCACTCCCATCGCCTCGCGGTCGCAATGTAGCAAGGGATTGAGGGGACAGCGCTCCGTACGGAACCCAAACAGGCTGCGATTCAGCGAGCGTCTGCTCCACCAGCCAATCGCGCCCGATGTTCCAGCCGTTGGCAACGATCGTATGCCCGCGCCGGCCATCTTCTTCCTTAGACGCCCTGAAACAGGAAACGCGTAATCAGAATGTGATGTGAAGCGGAACAAGAGGCGGAAACGAAATCGCGCAGTGGCACGCACGTTTCTCGCCGCTGTATCGCAAGCGAAGAACTGAACAATTGAACACTCACCCGAGAAACCATGCCCCACTATTCGCAGCTGTCCCGTTCTGTTTCCACGCCCGGAAGTGCTGTCCCCCGGCGAAACTCTCCCAGCATGTCCCCCAGCCGGGGAGCTTGTAGTGTTGCCGATACAGAAGCACTTCGGGTTTGCGGCCATCGCCGTCACCAAGATCAGCCTTATGCACGTTTCCTGCTACACTGTGAGCGGCAGGAATGGAGACGATGTAGACGGAATCCGCACCCCAATGCAAACCCATGCATTCGCGCGCATAGCCGATGGAGCGAGCGTACGCCTCGAAACCCTCATCGGTGAGGACGAACGGATCGGACAGGCCGGAGATGATGACATTGAGCGGTTCCCCCCGTGTCTTGGTGGTGAACTGTGATCCTAGCATGAACGACGAGAGACAAGAACCCGTAGCACGACGCACATCAAGCATTCTCCCACCGCCCGCTCGAGGGTCGTACCAGCCCACGGGCGCAGTGTTGGAGACTTCCATGTCTTTATCGCCGGTGGTTATGGGAGCAGTCGCACTTGTCCCCGCCTCCATCGAGAGCGGAAATTGCGCCGGGGATCCGAGAGCGGCATGAAGGAGAACGGAGACCGTCAAACCAACAGAGAGCGCCTTGGATAGGCGAGAGTTGGATCTCATGAGAAGGAAAACAAGGGGAAGAAAGGAAAGCGAGAGCCAACAGGCAAGGGGACAGAAGCAAGGTGCAGGGCGTGAGGCAACCAAAGTGGATTAGATTTGTCAAATGTGTGACATGCATATCACGGGGAACTCCGGCTCCCTCGCTCTGGCGGTCGATCCCAACCACCTCACCAGCATCGAGTTGGATATGAACGCTCCTACCTTGATCTCTGCAGACATTATCCTCGATCATGTGTTCGTCAAAAAGACATAAATAATTTCTAAACACATCCCGATGAAGTGATGCCAGATGTACCGGTACGAATGAGACAGAGCTGCTCCGGAGCAACTGCCGTGGGCTGTACAATAGAATATACACGTATGAGCTTAGTGGGTCAGGTAAAGAACGTGGGCGAGCGATTCGCTCGTTACACGGCAAACCCGGCAGCGGGTGCGGGCTCGCTGTGGATCTCCGAAAGAGATTCTTCGTGAACGCTGCCAGGCTCTTCATGAACAGACTCAGGCTCGTCGTGGATGATAGGATGCGGCTCGTCATGAATGAGATCCATCGAGGGTGTTTCCTTCGCAACCGGTTCCGGTTCCGACGTTGGAGCGGCGGCAACCGGCGCCGGAGCCTTGGGCGTCAAGAGCGACAAGGATCTCAGTGGGGATGTCGATGCCTGCTGCGGCACGGACGCCGACGAGACGGGGTTGAGCGGAGCCGCGTCTTGCGGAGTCGGCGGAAAGACCGAGGGCGACGACACACCCGACGGCGAGAGGATGCCGAGGAACGACGGGGTAGACGCATTCGGGCTTTCCTCCGGAGTCGTAATAATCGGTGGTGGCATGTCAGCAGCAGCACTGTCTCGTTTGGTGATATTCGGCATCCGGTTCAGGAACGACCCAAGCCCGGCGCCCCAAGATGAGATTGTCTGCCGTGCGGGGTTCGGTGCTGGTGCCGCACTCGGTTCGATGGTGGAACTGCGCGCCAGGAGAAGAGGTCGGGAGTTCGGGGGAGGAACATCGGCTTTGCTCGCGGTGACCGGTGTTCCGGGCACGCTCTCAAGCGCAGGTTCCTTGGGTTGATTCCACCGCTCGCGGACCCCTTCGAAAGCTTTGAATAAGTTGGTGGAACCCACAGAGATCGTGCGGGCAATGGCCTCCCGCGTCGGAGCCAGCTGTTGCTCGATCTTGAGATCCTGGATTCCCTCCTGCAAACGAAGCCCAATGTCCGCAACAACCGATGGCTTGTCAACACATGGATGGCGTGGCTCTACGAGATCAAAGAGAAGTGGGTCGGTGGTGCGCGCCCAGACTTCATAGGCGTTGGTATTTTTGAACTCGCTGATCCAAAGCGGATTAAAGTCATCCGTGGACGTCAAGTCCAAGCCTGTCCCGATCATCGGTTTTCCACCTTTCGACAGGAAATCGCGATATCTGACCGCAGCCAGAGAAGCAGAGATGTACTCCTCAAACTGTTATCCTGGTCAGGTGCGCCGGTTGACAAGTCGACTGAGGCAAACCTTGGTTCGTAGATAGTCGTCGCTGCCCTTGTACATAATGCTGACCGGCCGACCTTCCTCGTCGCTCCAGCCCTCATTGACATCTTTGACAATGTCATCCATCCACTTCCGGTCCGCGGGCGTCAATCCGGCGCTTCGCTCCAACTTGGGGTCCCGGAACTCCAACACACCAGTCTCCGTCTGGAAATATGTCAACAATCAGACACACAAAATGATTCACTCGGTCACGCACATTCACGAACAAATCAACCTCGTTCCTCTGCGTGACGATCGAGTTGGTGCTACCACACAGCCAGCTTTTGGTCTCAGCAGCTAGGTCTAATTGCTGCAGTGGCAAATAAGGCTGAAAAAACGCGTCCTTCCCAAATATATCCAGTGGAAGGCCAGTATATGCCATCATGCTCTTGCGGTCAGAGGTCCGTAAAGATGTCGGCTGGGTGAGAGTCGGCGCCCGACTGGACAGTGGGGGCGATCCACAGTCATCCAGCGTTTGCAGAAGACCTGGGAGAAGCGAGACGAGCGAGTATTGATAGGTGCAGAGGCGTTCCACAGGATGACCGTAGAACAGAATCTTGACAGAATGAGATTCGCTAGGAAAGAGGAACAGCGGACACACCCGTTTCTGAAGTAACAACGCTTTGACGAGGAGCAGTGTTCGCTGTCGGAATGTGTGGACAAGTTCGCGGCTATGTGAAGAGTCAGCTTGAGATGCAAGAACGAGATCGCGCAGCATACAGGTTAGTCCCAATGAACAATCCGCTTTCTGACAGCTGACCCCGAACAGAAGTCTCCAAAGAGGACCCAAAGTCGTCTAAGATGGCCGTTTCCGAGAAATCCCTGCCCAGATCATTGAAACACAGCGTAGAGATGATCGCATGACGGTCGTCACCTCTGATGGAAGAGTGCCGTGGTGACCACGCCCAGCTTGTCCCTACGAGAGATGAGCAACAGCGAGGCAAGGACTAGACCGCCGCGCACCTGATCGGCCCGAAAATGGGCTTTGATGCAAGCACAACCACCGCCTTCTGCACAGTCGACCGCGTCACGTCTGGCGTCTTGACGAGCAACGCCGTCGACGCGATCTGTTGGTTACATGAAATGCCGAAGATAGTCGTAGGGTTGGATCCAGAAGGAACGAGATGGAAATAAGAGTAGTCCTCCGCACTCTATAGCAACGGCGCGTCAAATGTGTCACCCATCTGACTGATGCGCGCGGCGACGTACGAGATGTGCACCATCTGGCAACGCCAGGAAGGGCAGGATCTTGGTGACCTCCTCGTCGTCGAAGATGTCCCCGCGCGAGTACTCGATACGAGGGCCGACCTAGTGCGGATCAGTTGATGCAATAGAAACGAGCGAGAAGATGCCTACTAAGTGATTGAAGTCCACCAATGCGATGCCCAGGATGAGAGGTTTGTCTCCGGGAAGCACAATCATAGACTCGGGACGTGCTTTGCGAGAAGAGCCCGAGGCTACCGAAGCGATGGACGCCGCGTCACCTCGTGGCGGGGACGGCGGATACGTTGGCATCATGGTCTTGCTAGTGGGAAAAGCGTCCCTCGGTTCCTCGATCACGGACGGTGCGACGGACGTGTTCGGGCTCTCCTGCATGCCCATGTCGTGCGTGTACACGCTGCTCGAGTCATCGGGCTCCGAGCTGAGGTCGGTGTCGAGCGTGTATGGATGTGACGCGCGATGCGATGTGCCGTGGTTCTGGAGAGAATTGCGGGGAGAGACGGCGGGAGAGGAGAGAGAAATCGAACGCTGCGAGGCGGTGTCCGCGTCGTCGTCGTCAGCAGTGGATGCGAGAAAGGAATGAACGTCGGGCACAGGGTGAAGGTCGGATTCCAAGGACATTTTTGGTGACAACTTGTGACAAATCGCCTATCCAAGGCCACCGAGCCTGATCGCGACAGAGATCATTGATGCACAGCTTGATCATCCGGACAGCTTTCTGCTTTGTGCCATCGCGAGCTTTCCTCCTTGTGGCCATTCACGGTCTATACTACAGGCGGGCAAGCTGTCCTCGACCGGGAAGAAGCACCAAACGTCTGTTCGGTGCTGACTGGACGGATAGTCAGACCAGTGTCTGGAACTAGCACGGCTATATTGACCACTGCGCTGGCAACTGCAGCGTCTCAAAGGACTTGATTCACTGCAAGGACAATGCGGAATCGAGTAGTATATGACGCGCACATGTTTCATTCATTCCCTACGTTCTTTCTCACCCATTACAATTCAATGACCATTGCTACCTCGCCTCATTTGTTCATCTTAGATTCGTCTCTTTGCCCAATGCGACATGCAGTACTTTCCAGCACTCCTCAACGCCGAATCCTATCCGATGAAACATTTGAAAACGCACGTCTGTGAAGCGACATCGAGCGCACGCGTGTTTTCCGCCAAGATCAACAAGTAACGAAACTTGGGTTGGCCTGAGCCACTCGCTTCATCGCAACTTGTGGCAGATGGCTCAGTGGAAGATCAAAGCAAAACTCCCAGACGTTGCTCTCAGACAACTTTCACTTTCTAGTTGACCCGAGTTCAGAGCACTGTTGCCAATGCGTCGCATTGGCGATAGTGCTCATGCCGTTCTTCGATCCCTCGGCCCTACTCGTCATGCCCGTTACACCAGATCACTTAAGCGGAGATCGGCTGTCGAGCTGGTGTCATGCTGCACTCCACGCGTAAGATGGTATACAACGGCTCAGATGATTGGGTGCCTCAACCTTCTGCTATTAAAGGATGGTGGACGGTGCGTTCTTCCCCAAATCGTGGACACACCGGCCGATCACGGACCCATCTAGTTATGTAACTGAGCCGCCTATAAAGAAATGCGTGGAGAAACTAGCTGCGGGCTTCTTATGGCCCCGCTTCGACAACAACCGGACTCTTCACTTTTGTTGCAATTTGGTCTGGCAGGATGGGTGAGCATTGCCGCTGTCCAGCGCGGGAACAGCCGGAGACTTAAGCGCATCCAGAATCTTGCTATCAATGGCGACGTCCTTCTACAAGGCATACTGATTGCGCAGACTGCCACATACCTAGGACACGGTTATCACCGCACAGACCCCTCCCTTCTGCGTTTGTGGGTGGCGGGTCTCTGGCTTAGTACCTTGGCGAAGACCGTATATGCGCTGTATGTTTCCCGCAATTCGTGTTTGAGTTTTTGCTGACCCTGAAGCGCAGTGTCTTTACCCAGCTCCAGCTGCAGACTTTGAATCTTCAGACCCAATCGGACACCAGATCCTTCAATCGGTACCTGCAAAACTTCCGAATGACACAACTGTTCGGGGTGCTGCTAGTGTACTACGTGCAACTCTTCTTTTGTTGGCGCACCTGGGTGTGTCCTCCGTCCACTTCACCGCATCGCCCCGGATCATGACCAAGCCTCAAGACGCTCTCGAAACGGCCGTGGATTCCGCTCGGTCTGGCACTCATGTTCTCGATGTCGTTCGTTTGCGGCATGTTTTCGGTGCGCCGGTGTCTTTGCAGATATCGTCAGCTTGTTAACGGCAAACAGATTTTGGATAATGGGACCAGCGGTGTTCCTTGGTGTGCGTTTGCCGACATGTTGCTCATTAGCCCTAGCTCTTACTCTACTGTCCTCCAGCGGGGGCGTATCTGGGGTTGCTCTTCGTGGGGGACGGAATGCTTAGCGCGGCCACCATGTACCTTCTGCTTGTGAGCGCACATAACATATTTGCATTTCATTGTCAGTGACTTCACCGACAGACAACGGCGAGAAGCGTTTCGCGCGATACGGCAAGCGTCCTGGAACGACTGTCAAGGCTCACCATGCATGCCGCCGTGCCCGGTGCCATCTGCACTCTCGTCGTTCTCATCACTTCTCAAGTATCGCCCAGTTTGAGCCGAGTAGGGGCCCCGCAGGATATGGCAGCAGCGGGGTCGATCGTCTCAAGCCAGCTCCTTCCCAAATTGTACGCGTTTTCGGCTATGTGGATCCTCAACAGTAGGAGAAGCCTACGGAAGGGGGTCCATCGCCCTCGAGACGGAAGCAGAATGAGCCATCCGGCAAAGCTCGGTCAGGGCTCAAGCGTTGAGGCCTCTACGAACGACTCCCTAGAACTGGGCGATTTACAAGGGACGAAGCACGACAGTGTTATCGAATTCGCAGCACCCAAGGGGAGACATTCACCTTACGCAGCTCCAATCAAGGTCGAAGATGAAGAGGAGGGGCAAGAACGGGAGGACGAAGACAAGGAATACGGCAGAAGGTATCGTTCCACCAGAGTCACTCTGGAGCAAGCCCTGCGGGCCAGGTCTGAGAAGGAGAACGGCATGTAACAGGTCTAACTGGGTATAGCGGACAGACGTACATACGGTATCATTTAGGGTTCTTAATCATTTACGTGCGTTCACCGGCCGCAGAGCGGCCGGCAACCCCTTGCGCGAGGTGCTTTTGCAAATATTACAACCAAGTCGACGACGTTAAGCGATCAACTTCTACATATATTGCACAGGCCAACAACTTACGAATACAAGACGAAATCAGTGCTGCAGCATGCTAAATGCTATGATAGTGAAGCACCTGTATATCTTTAGGCCGCTATCTTCAGACAGCTGCGCATGAGAAAGGGGAAGGCGGAACAGACCTCCATGATTTAAAATAGCTTTGAGATGTACGAGAATTCAACGAGGAATGTAAGTTCAGAGGTCTTGGAGAGTCCTCGAATCAAAAATCAGAGAAGCCCTGCCTGGAAACAAGGAATAAATCCAAAGCGTAAAGAGATGTACTTGCCTGCGATTATATGAAGGCCGGTGTACTCGATTGTGATTTCGAGCAGACACGCGGTTTCTGCCCTAAAGCACGAGTCACAAATTCCGAGCAAGCCGGGAGGTGGGGAGACTAGCTCGATCTCTGAGGCTCCGTCGCAACTTGGGATATTTCTGTTAGAATGAGCTTGAGGGCTGAAGCATCGCAGACGACAGGCTCACCGCAGTGTTTCGCCGACGTTCGGGCTTTGTCGGACTTGCCTCTTTGAGCGATCTTCGTCAGCCTCGATCAATGACCAATGATCGTCAGGCCTAATGCATCGCTCGTCTGTCAATCACCGTATGCGGCGACACTGGCAGGATGGGAGTCCAAAGCTTGTGTCTCCCGGCCTGTGAGCTACTGTCGGCTGGACGCAGCGGCTCAGGCGTTTGTATGGCTTGACCTTCTGGCATTCAATCTACTGCAACTCACTGTAAAGAATGGATTCTCCGCAGTTCGTGCATGCAACTCGCCCAAACCGATCACGGCCTGACGCGCCGCAGAAGCTCAGGTTAACCGAGCTCGCCTATATAGAAAACCGTGCAGTAACGACCGGACGACCTCCATGACCAACCTTGCTGGCTGAGCGCTTCTTATGTCATTGCCTCAACCGTCGTCGGATGCCCTATTGTTGTTGAAGTATGGTCTAGGAGGCTGGGTGAGTTTAGCCCAAATCCAGTACGGGGTCATTGGAGACTGAAACGGATCGAGAATCTCGCACTCAACGGCGACCTCCTGCTGCAAGGCGTCCTGATTGCACAGACCGCAACATACATTGGACATGGTTATCATCTCACAGACCCCTGCCTCCTGCGGTTATGGGTGGCGGTTCTCACACTTAGCACTTTGGGCAAGACGATTTACGCGCTGTGTGTTTGCCGGAACTCTCGTCCATGTCCCTACTGATCCCAGGCGCAGTGTTTTCACGCAAACCCAGATGCAAGGGCTTGCTGCCATGTTCCAATCCACCGAAACCTTTGAAGATTATCTAGGCTACTTCCGAGTGTCGGAGCTATTGGGGGTGGTGCTGGTGTACTATGTGCAAGTCTTCTTTTGCTGGCGCACTTGGGTGCGTGTCCATCCGCTCTGCTGCATGACCAATGATCACGACCATCATTCAAGACGCTTTCGAAACGGCTGTGGATTCCGCTTGGTCTGGGATTCATCTTCACGACGGCTTGTGTTACTGGCATGGTTTCCGTGCGTCTGTTCAATTCCTGTATATCATCCAGCACGCTGAGGAGACTAGATTCTCAATGGCAGGAGCCCTAGCGTCCCTTGGTGTGCGTGTCCTGGCGCATCGTTCATTGGCCTCGCCTCTAATCAGCTTTCAGCGGCTGCGTATCTCACACTTCTCTTCGTCGGTGACGGACTGCTCAGCGGTGCTACCATCTGCCTTCTGCTTGTGAGCATACTTGGCATTCTGGAGTTACCTATCTGTAATCCCTCCGACAGGCAACCGCCAAGAACGTTTCGCGCGACACAGCCAGCATCCTGGAACGACTCTCAAAGTTGACAATACATGCCGCCGTGCCTGGTGCCGTGTGCACTCTCGTCAATCTCATTGCCTCCCAGACGTCGCCCAGCTGGAACGGAGAAGGCGGCCCGCAGGATGCCGCCGCGGCAGCGACGGTCATCTCGAACCACCTTCTGTCTAAATTCTACGCGCTCTCCGCCATGTGGATCCTGAACAGCAGGAAAAGCTTGAGGAAGGAAATTGACCGGAAGCGAGACGGGAGCGCGATTGGTCCCCAGGCGCTGAACATCGATGTCTCCATGACTGATTCCCTGGAACTGGGCGACGTAGAGGATGGGTCGAGACGCAACAGCGCCGTGGAATTTGCAGTACCGGGGAAGGCAAATGCAACTTACGCAGTCCCAATGAAGGATGAAGACGACCGGGCGGAGGAAGAACGGGAGCAGCAGCAGGCTGAGGAAGAGGAAGAGGAAGAGGAGCACAGCCGACGACGGTATCGCTCCAAGAGAGTGACTCTGGAACAAGCTCTGCGCGCCAGACTTGAAATGGAAAACAAACTATGACAGCTGACCCGGCACAAGGGGCGAAACGAAGATGTGATACAGCTAATATTCTTAATAGTTATTTACCGTCATTTGGTTTAAAGCGCGTGCCATCGATTCCGCTTCGCAACCGTTCGATTGCGCGCGATGCAGTCGCAAAAGCACACTCGGACTGACTGTGGGGAACTCTAGAAAATCGTTGGTCAAGTTGAAATCGGAAGAGAGAATATATCTGACAATAAAGAGCGACTGGAGCCAGCTTGGGGAGATTCGCTTGGAGGATCCCTGCGAGGTCCGTCTTGAGATCCGCGTTGAAGCACTGGCCCCCGCAGCTCTGCGCATCTCCGAGAGCACCGTTCAACGACTGAACTAGCTCCTGCACAGTTTCGAGAACATTTCCAAGCAGTTCCGTACTGCAGAGCGAATTGAGATTGGAGAACTGGCCCAGCAGTCCCGTCACGTCCGACAAGAGGCCGCCGTTTCCACCACCACCTAGAATCCCGCCGAGCAAGCCCCCATTCCCGCCGCCGAGCAGACCGCCGAGCAGACCACCTCCGCCCAAAAGTCCACCGAGCAGACCACCTCCGTTGCCTCCCAGAACACCACTGAGCAAGCCGCCGATAGGATCGCCGCTCGAAAGCCCCCCGAGAAGGCCTCCGTTCCCGCTGAGAATGCTACCAAGACCACCCAAGAGTCCACCGCTGCCTCCGCCGAGTAACCCGCCGAGCAGCCCACTTGAACTAGCGGGGACCAGTTTGTCGATGATCCCGTTCATATTAAGCACTGCGCTGTTAATGGCGGACGAGGAGCCGGAGGCCGCGACTTGGGCGTTGAGCTCGTTGAGCTTCACGAGTTGGGACACGATGTTTGACGCTTGGGCGCTGAGGCCGGTGCTGGTGACCTGCCATAGGGTGAATATACAGGATCCTACGAGCACAGTCATAGATGTTCACTGTGGTGCTGGTGGAATTGACCCTTGTCGACTGGCTCTGTGAAACCCATCAGCGCTACGAGCACTGTACCTGAAAAATGAGACAAACAGTGGGCGCAGCGAAAGCAGCGCCGACGCTGGAGGCGAGGGTAACAAAGAGAGAGAAGTGCATAGCCGATTCAGTTGGATGTGCAGTTGGATGCTTTCGACATGGCCCTCTCTTCCCTCCTTATGTATTATACACCTTGCCCAGAATACCGACAGGTGCGGGTTGCATATGTCCTCGCAGGGAAACTCTGCGCACAAATCCAGAGACCAGGGACAGTTGGAGCCAAGCTGACCGTCTCCAACGGAAATATAATCCAAAGAGGAGTTGGAGCATGCCCAAGGATGTTACTGAATCGGGAAGATCTTCGCCACTATGTATCATTGGTTTTCTATAGGCACCGCGTCAGTTGGACCAAGTCACACTTCGCGGGAGGTGGCCAACAGTGGCTAGTTTCAAACCGGAGTTGCCAAAGGTTTTCTAACAAGGGAGCAACCTTGAAGTATGAACAGTTGTCCCGGGGTACACGCCGCTCAGGAAATGGCACTGACAATACGCCACCCGCTGTCGAGTCTGCCAGGCCCCACACCGATGCCAACTGAGGGCCCACATATGCAGTTTCGAGGGTAAGACGTCCTGTGGAGTACGATGCCTTGAGGCCGAGACGTAAAGGTGTGGACTCTCTCGTAGGCTAAGTCCGAATCGGTCAAGACCGTTGGGATTTGCAATAGGACAGTGCGACTATTGGCTCGACTAGAGAAAAACCTAGGTCTTCATTCTCCAGTTCGATTGAGAGCGGGGACTTGTGGGCCGTGCACGAGTACTCTGAGTCCTGCGACCGAAAGATGATGCTCAGAGAAGGGAACTTGGTGATGCAATCAATCATCGTGCTGGAGCTGGCCTCAGATCATGTACCCTGCTTGACCAATGGCAGTCACCAACTCGCCGTTTCTCTCTCGACTGGGCACAAACTATGTTCCTTCAGATGGAGAAATCGATGCAATACACGGTCTTTTGGCCGTTCCCGAGGCTGTGATGTCAAGGAACATGGCAGAGATCGAGAAACTGCAGGAGAGGATTCTTCAGCTACAAACTGAGATACAACCCTTGAAGTCCTTCGCAGACGCTCATAGAGCACTGATATCCCCTTTCCGACGCCTTCCAATCGAAATAATGCAGCTCGTCTTCGTTGCGTGTCTGCCGACCATACACAACGCGTTGATCGACCCCGCTCATGCCCCGCTGCTCCTCGGGCGCGTGTGCAAGCATTGGCGAGACGTATCACGCCAGACCCCTCGTCTCTGGACGTCAGTGCACATCCCTATTTCCCATGTCACGCAGTCGTACGACGTTGCGCTGGCACCGCTGGTCCACATATGGCTGACGAGGTCGGGCATGCTTCCGTTGGACATATCTGTGACGACTGTCCCGTACCAGACCTCGCTCAGCAACCCGTTAGAAGGTTCCAAGACCATCCTCGCGCTGCTCCCATTTACTCGTCGTATGCGACAGCTTCACCTTTGTGCGTTCACCGAAGAACTTGCCCCGATTCTTGCACTGGGCGCCAGTGCGTTTCCTCTTCTCGAGGATGTTGCGATACACTGTCCTGGGAGCCCGGGATTGCTAGTGGCATGGGACCTCCACATGTTCGCCGCCCCCCGATTGCACACTGTGTCGCTATATGTGACCATGGCACAACCTGCCCCGACCCTCTCATTGCCCTGGGCTTCACTGACAGAGCTGAATATCTCCTGCTTCAGAAGCGAGCGCAACGATGTTTCTGCGGACTCGGGACTGAACCAAAACCAGATTTTGAGTCTGCTCCGCCTATGTTCCAATCTCGTTCGATGCAGTGTCAGGGCGACCGTCGACGAGGCATTCATAGGCTCGAAGGAAGCCGTTGGTCTGCCGAATCTGGTTCTACTCCACCTATGCTACCATATCAACTTCCCCGAGTTTCTTAAACACATCAATGCGCCCCGGCTAGCTTACCTGCAAGTTCGGCACAACACCCGTGATTCCTGGTACGAAGTCCTGCGGACCGCCATCCCTCCCGATTCCTTCACCTTGGTGGTGCAGGACTACAGGATCAACGAAAACGTCACTTTGGATCTCCTCACGCAGTTTCCAAAGACCACGCATCTCGTCATTGGGACCTCGATCTCCATCCTCGAATGGCACCCCGAGCTATGCCCCTTGCTCAGAGACCTGACGGTGTCGAAATGCTCGCTGTCTGACTCGTCATTTTGCCAATTGATCAGGAGCAGGAGTCCCACTCTGCGTCGCGTGAAAACTACATTCACCCGGTTGCCGCGATCCGACATGTTCACTTCGCTGCAGGACCTTGTCGACATCGGGCTGAATCTGGAGCTTGTGTTTGTGGATAGGAATGCGGAACAGGCGACTGGATTTGTTTCGACTAGGGGGATCGAATTTGTCGCGGGTTACTGACTGTAGCTAATCGAATCGATCGTATTCACGGTTCGCTTGTCACTCATTTGGAGCGAAATCTGATTCAAACTGGACAATTCCGAATAGATGCAATAGATGACGAGAGCAAGTACAAGAAGAATAAGCTTTCAACCGCCAGACTACTTGATTCCGGCCACGATCCGCTCTACCTCAGACTGCACACGAGACCGAGCGGCTATGCCCAGTGGAGAAGTTCCGCCAATCAGTTTCCCAGGAGCATACCCTTCAGTAATGCCCTGATAGATGAGCTGGAGCATCTTCGCCCACTGCTGGCCCCAGACCTGGAGTGCGTCCAAGCCCATAACATCCAGAAGCGCTGCGGAGTCCGTCAGTCGAGGAAAAGAGTCTATAGCGCAAGAACCTTACTGTATATCAGCTGCGCAGCCACTGGCGACTCCAATAGTGACCGCTCGTTTAACAACCTCGAGAGCCACTGCCAACAGCGCGGAAGCTGGAATAACGGGTGCAGCGGCTTGTTCTGCGGCACAATTCGGATGATATGGAAATACAGTCGCATCATCCCGGATATCCGGTCAGAGTATTCCTGCATGCTTTCCCAAGACTCGGCATCGTCACTTGAGCTCAGTCGGAAGCCTTGCATCTTCTGACGCTCGACTTTGTCAGCCCATGGTCGTCCGTCGTGGTCTTTCTCTGGGAGGGGACATGGAATCAACCAGATTCCACATCGGTGGGACAGCCGTGCGAAGAAAACTTCAGGGAATGCCTCCAGTTGTTCCAACAGCCTGAAGGATGCCAGCGCGAGAGGGATCGCTGCCTTCTTCTCGGCCGTTACTTCGGTTTCGGCCTGTAGAAGAATGGCTTTCGATAATGATGACAATAACGCTTTGTAAAGGATTGGGGGTAATGGTTGTGGGGGTGCGAGAACTTGATGTTGAATGAAATCAGTCTGCGCTTTCGTCAGCTCAGACATTGCAATTCCATCCAACTTACAATTCGCGTGATGGCTTGGAGGTCGTTTGTCAATTGCCCGATCTTGGGCGTGATCTTCCGTCGATACTCCCCCCAAACGGTGCTCTTCGCCTTGTCGCTTTTGATCGGTTTCATGAAGTCCGACTTGAGGGTCTAGAACGAGCATCAGTGCAAGTGCGAGAATGAGAGTCGATCAATGCGCACAGTTAACACTGCCCGAGCCTGCTTCCATTCAGATTCGGCATCAGTCAAGCCCAGGGCCTGCCTGCTTGACGATTCAGCACTGAGTCGTGTTCTCCTCTCTGTCTCCTCCCGAGCACGGACTTGCTCCTCGTCCTTGCGTTTCTTCTCCTCGTCCTCGGCCTGCTTCTTCCTCTCCTCAGTCTCTTTACGCTGCTTCTCCGCCGCTTCTCGCATACGCATTTCCTCCTCCTGTTTCTTCCTATCCAGCTCCTCCTTCGCCTTGCGCTCAGCGTCTAACCGCGTACGGACCTTGTTCTCCTCCATCGCAATGACGGAATCGATTCGGGCCCACAACATCTTGTCACGTTCCTTCCACGCTTGCCGCAGCCGGTCATCTTCCTTCTGCGCCTGGAATTTAAGAGATTCGAGCTGTTTCTGGACTTCCGCCATCTGCATCGCGTGCAGCGCGTCTAGTTGTCTCAGTTCCTCCATCCTGCTCTTCTCCAGCTCATCCGCGTTCTGCTGCAGTAGGGCAGTCTGCTCCTTGCGTGCTGTACGCTGGAGAGAGATATGGTCATCAGTCAAATATCAGCAAAGGAGGGATCCGGCCACGCACGAACGCATCCTTGCGCGTCTGCTTCTCCCATTCCTCATAAGGGTCATGATGTCGTGTGCGAAGTCGTATTGCAGCGATGGTATCTTCTGTCTGCTGTTGTTCCGGTGTCGCTTTTGCTCTGTCCGGGAATTTCTGTGTGAAGAGTGTTGGATGTGGCCCAGAATGAATGTGTCCAACGCGTACATGGGGAGGGGTGGCTGGGGCATCTCGGACTCGGAGGCATAGAGAAACGAGTCCACTGAGTCTGGATCTGATTCAGGATCCGAGAGTTCAGATTCCGAGTCGGATGAGACCAGTCCGAAGGAGGATTGGCTGCGGCGGGCTGGTTGAGCCCGTTGGGGTGTTCTCCTGCAAGGCAGTTGGCATTGCCGCACAATGGAGGGAGGAAACGTGAAATGGAGGCATACCGTTTCCCCGGAGAGGTCGATGACGAGCGAGGAACACTGAATCGCATGTCTTCGGTAGTGCGAGTAGAGTATGCGAACAGATCTGCACCGAAAGCGGGGTGGTCCGTGGGCGTGGTCGACAACAAGTCACAATCGCAGGATCAGTGATGGTCAATCAAAATCGGAGCATGCCATCAATGCATCATGAGAAGTTGGCCGCGGCAGCTGGCACTGAGTAACCGCGCGGATCCATATGTGACGTTGTCCGGCTCCCTCTACCTCGTACCACCACCACCGCGATGAAGATGCTGCTGGGAACCGTGCTTCTCGCGCTCTCAGTTCACGCCGCGGAGAACTTCGAGCACCTCCAGCGCCTCGGCCCGCAAGGCATCAACCTCTACCGGCTGGAGAAACAAGCTGCCGCTGCAGCCAAATCTGCCAAGTCGCGGTTCACCGTCCAGGGAGCCGCGCGATACGGGTTCTCGGACGGTGCCGAGGAACAGATCTCTGCGGAATTCAAAGCCCAGTGGTTCGAGCAGCCGCTGGACCACTTTGACAAGTCCAACAACGCGACGTTCCTGCAACGGTACTGGATCAACACCCGGCACTACGATCCCAAAAAGCCTGGTCCTGTGTATGTGCTGGATGGAGGCGAAACTAGCGGAGTGGTGGGTTCTCGTGCCTCTGCACCTCACGGCTGAAATCCGATACAAGCCCAGAATCGAATTACCTTCCTCGACACCGGTGCGCCCCAGATCGACCTCCCTGCTTGCGGCTGATTCGAATTCTTCCAGGCATCATGGAGATTCTACCCCGCGCGACGGGTGGTGTTGGCATCGTCCTGGAGCACCGATACTACGGCAAATCCATCCCAGTTTCCAACTTCTCCACGGACAACCTTAGGTCCGTCGTGTTTCTACTGCGCAGATGCCATTTATCAACCGGTTTGATGTTCAGATGGCTCAATAACGCGCAATCGGCTGCGGATAGCGCGAATTTTATCGCGAACGTCAAATTCGAGGGCATCGAGGAGGACCTGACTGCACCCAACACGCCTTGGATCTACTACGGTGTATGCACCCCGCTTCCTCATTCTTCCTCATTCTTCTCATACGTCTTCCAGGGCTCTTACGCCGGTGCTAGGGCTGCCCACATGAAGGTTCTGTATCCTGATCTTGTGTATGGTGCCATCTCCTCGAGCGGTGTCACCCATGCGGATTACCTGAACTGGGAGTACCACGAGATCATCCGCAACGCGGCAGACCCGGTGTGCATGGAGCACCTCGAGAACTCTATCCAGACCATTGACGCCATTCTGGCGACCGGTCGGCTGTCGCATCCGCTGAAGTCGCTCTTTGGTCTGGGAGGACTCACTTTCGACGATGATTTTGCATCCGTTATCTCTGTATGTGCTTCACATACCAAATTGCAGCGCCAGCCACTTACCATTCGCTCAGACTCCCTTGGGAAGCTGGCAGTCCAAATATTGGCACCCTGACTTCGTCTCCACCCGTTTCGACGAGTTCTGCGAGGCCCTCAACGCACCTCCTTTCGGCTCTGGACCCAGCTCGCTCAGTGCTCTTCCCTATAACTCTGCAGAGCGAATGGTGTCGGTGCCGGGTGGACTGGAGTTGGACTGGACGATTTTGAATTATGCCAAGTATATAAAGGAGAACGTTGTCTCTCGATGCCCGGAAGAGCTTGATCTTGACGATGTATGCATGCCGCTGGATATGAATAGCGAGCATCGCTGATATTTTTGCAGTGCTTTGGGACGCACGACGAGGAGCAATATCTTGCCGCGGATCTCGACCAAGACTGGCGTCTATGGCTGTTCCAGGTCTGCACCGAGGTAGGGAAGCTCGCCCATCTCACAAGAGTAAAACATTGATGTTCGCTGCAGTGGGGTTACTTTTTCGTGAGTCGTTACAGCAGGCAAGGAATGAATCAGTGTTCAAGTCAACAGACCGCACCTCCAGACCCGGAACACCCTCGTATTGTGTCCAATCTCCAGACGCTCGATTACGCAACCAAGACCTGCGCTCAGGTGCCTCACGATTCTGTTCAGTCTGATCCCAGCAATCATGCTCATTCTTCGCAAGGCTTTCCCACCCGGCAAACACATGATGGTTCCGCCCATGCCGAATATCACAGTTGTCAACGAGCTCGGCGACTTTGGGATCGCTGCAGACCGACTAGCTATCATTGACGGAGACAGTGCGTCCTGCCAAATTCACCTCCGTGTGCGACTAGTAACTCACTAACTTATAGTCGACCCCTGGAGGCCCATGACGCCTCACAGTGACAATGCGTTCGACAGGCCCGACACTGTCTTGCAGCCGTTCAAGATCATCCGCAGTAAGTCAGCACTATCCTTCTACTCCAGATATCGCTGACAGTCTTGACAAGACGGCGTGCATCACTATGACGAGTGGGGGCTGATGAACCTCGACGACGAACCGGAGGAGGTTCGCAAGATCCATGAGGAGATGATCTATTTCGTCAAGGAATGGCTCAAAGACTGGCAAGCACCGAAATCCGTTTGAAATGTTTTCCATCTATGTAGCGGCGGCGTTCTGGCATAGATTTGGATCCCGACGAAAAAAAATGGTCCTTTTGCAAATATCGACAGGTCAGACCTGAATGTCCTCGTGGCTGTGTTACACATTGAGCGCAGACGAGGATTGTTTACGCTTGACACAGAAACAGGGAGAACTTTTCCCGATGATCCCATTGATTGTTGAACGTTGAACTCAGATATGTAGACCTTGAAGCTTGAAGACTGACCAATATAAAGGAGGTTTTGAGAATCACGTGGAAATCACACTTGCATGAGGCAACCTCGTCGAAACCGCTACTACTTACTTTGAGTTCACTCGCTAATCTCGCACCTCTCGTGCTAGGCACCGGCTTCAACCCCAGTTCGAATGTGCTGGACAGGTATCGGTGCTCGTATCCATTGATCTTCTGGATCTACATGCTATTCCTGGGGAACCACATCCTCCGACTGCGCGTCGACGTGCCTGGACCAAAGCGGAGCTGATCCAGAAAATGGCACTCTCCCTTCTCTCGTCCGTTTCCAGCAACCGAATTCCCTCGGAATCGAGTAAACCGTCAATTGACACCGTCGTGGAGCCCGGCGAACTCGACAGCGGGTGGCGCATTGTCAGTTCATCGCCGGCGTGTACCTTTGTCCAACACTTCCGCATGAGACGGCAGGCTTGGCTGTTCCTGGTCCCCGAGGCTCTTCTTGCACGGGGTTCGAGGTGAGGAAATGTGCAGACCGCACCTGTCGGTGCTCTGGGCAGGGTATATAAGGAGGGAGGAGAGGGCCGTGTCGACAGCAAGCATCCAACTGCACATCCAACTGAATCGACTATGCACTTCTCTGTCTTTGTTACTCTCGCCTCCTGCATTGGCGCTACTTTGGCTGCGCCCACTGTCCAGAGCCAGTCGACCAGGGTCAACTCCACCACCACAGTGAATATCGACGACGCTTCTCACGAGATTGTGATCATTCACCCTTTGGCAGGTCACCAGCACCGGCCTCAGCGCCCAAGCGTCGACCATCGTGTCCCAGCTCGTCGAGCTCAACGAGCTCAACGCACAGGTCGCCGCCTCCGGGTCCTCGGCCGTCATCACCAGCGCAGTGCTCAACCTGAACGGGATCGTCGACAAACTGGTCCCTACCGGGTCAGGTGGGCTGCTCGGCGGACTGCTCGGCGGGGGCAGCGGCGGACTCTTGGGTGGTCTTGGTAGCATTCTCAGCGGGAACGGGGGGCTTCTCAAGGGCCTTTCGAGCGGGGATCCCATTGGTGGCTTGCTCAGTGGGGCTCTGGGAGGCACCGGAGGCGGTGTGCTCAGCGGGCTGTTGGGTGGAGGTGATCTTCTTGATGGTCTGCTTGGTGGGGCGCTCGGCAGTATCCTCGGCGGTGGGAGCGGCGGTTTACTCGGTGGGATTCTGGGCGGTGGAAACAGCGGCCTCTTGTCGGACGTGACGGGGCTGCTGGGCCAGTTCCAGAATCTCAATCCCCTGTGTGGACCTGATTTGCTCGGAGACATTTTGGAAACTGTGGAGGAACTGGTTCAGTCGTTGACCGGCGCTCTTGGATATGCGCAAACCTGCGGCTACTGTTACGATGCGGATCTCAAGGCGAACTTGGCCGCCGTCATCCAAGCCAATCTTCCCAAGCTCGCTCCTGTCGCTCATCATTGTGTGTCATTCCCGCGCGTTTCAGCTCAACCTGATCAAAGATTTTTCTAGAGTCTCGCAAAGCCAACCCGAATCTAATCCTGAAATCGGATTAGAACAACGCATGTCCGCTCAAATGTCAATAAATAATTGTTAAGAATACTACTGGTATCAAATGTCCGTTTTACCCCTTGTGCCGGGTCAGCGTGTCACGTCCTGCCCTCCAGCTCAAGTCTAGTGCGCAGCGCTTGCTCCAGATCAACTCTCTTGGAACGATACCTTCGGTGTGTGTGCTCCTCCTCCTCCTCCTCGTGCTCGTCGTCATCCTTCATCGGAACTGTGTAAGTGAGACTCGCATCCCCGGGCCCTGCTGCAAAATGGACAGTGCTGTGGCTTCTCGACCCTTCTGCGCCGCCGCGATCCAGAGAATCGGACGTGGCGACATCGATGCTCAGCGGGTGGCCGTTCCCACTCCCCTCGAGGTCTCGATGGAGCTCCTTCCGCAGGCTCTTCCTGCTGTTCAGGATCCACATGGCCGAGAACGCGTAGAGCTTGGGCAGCAGCTCGTTTGAGACGATGGTCGCTGCTGCTGCGGGGTCCTGCGGGCCGCCTGCTCCGCTCCAGCTGGGCGACGTCTGGGACGCGATGAGATTGATGAGCGTGCAGACGGCACCGGGCAAGGCGGACTGTATGGTCACTCTCGAAAGGCGCTCCAGGATGCTGGCCGTGTCGCGCGACACGTCCTTTGCGATCGTCTGTCGGTGGGGTCAGAGACGATGAAGCTCCACAATCCCGGGTGTTCTCACGAGCAGAAGGTACATGGTGGCTCCGCTGAGCAGTCCATCCCCGGCGAAGAGCAGCGTCAGATACGCGGCCGCTGGAAGATCATTGAGAGGCCGACAATTGATACGGCGGGTCACGTACCCCAAGGGACTCTGGTGCCCCAACCATCGAGAATCTGAGATTGTCAGTAAGGTGATGGGTGCGTGCCAAGGAAACAGACACACGGAAACTACGCCGCAAACAAAGGCTGTCGTGAGAATGAACGCCAAACCAAACGGAATCCACAGTCGTCTTGAGAGCGTCTTGAATGACGATGGTCAGGATCCAGGGATGCGTGGCAAATCGGAGGGGTGACACGCACCCAGGTGCGCCAACAAAAGAAGAGTTGCACATAGTACACCAGCAGCACCCCCAACATTTCCGAAGCATGGAAATCGTCCAGATAATCATCGAACGACTTGGTGGATTGGAACAACGCAGGAAAATCTTCAATCTGCAGTTGTGTGCAAACACTGCGCCTGGGGTGAGCAGGGCCTCGCAAGGAGATACCGCCAAAAGACCCACAGCGCGTAGACCGTCTGTCCCAGAGTGCTGAGCAAGAGAACGGCCACCCACAGCCGCAGGGGACGGGGGTCTGTCCGGTGATAACCGTGTCCGATGTACGTGGCGGTCTGTGCGATCAGGACGCCTTGCAGCAGGACGTCGCCGTTGACCGCGAGATACTCGAAGCGTTTCGTTTCAGTCTCCTGTGATCCCGTGCCAGATGGGGTAACACTCACCCATCCTTGTAGACCGTATTTCAGCAATAATGGGGGGTTGCGCGACCGTTGGGGCAGGGACGTAAGAAGCGGTCCGCCAGCGGGGCTGCTCATGGAGGTCGTTAGGTTGGTTGCACAGGCTGCTCTTCATGTGCGACTCGGTTAGCCAGACCTTCTGAGCCCAAGTCCGTGATCGGTCTGGGCAAGTCTTCTGCACGGACCACGGAGAACCCACTCTCGGTAGTGAGTGGGAGGAGATTGGATGCCAAAAGGTCGAGCACACAAAGAACTCCGGGCACTACTTCCAGCGTAAAGTAGCTCGCAGACCGGCTATGCGACCGCCTGCGGTGATTTACCGACTGGCAAAATGTATGTTTGTAGCAATGAACCTGACGATCATCAATTAGCCCTTTCAAAGTTCAACGTTCGACATCGCTTCCTGACCGGTGATCAAACGGGTGAGGCCGACGATACCCGACTCACCGGCGATGCACTCCGAGGGTGTTGGCTGCAATGCTTGAGCGCTTGAATTACCAGACAGTGGCCGAAGGAGGAGGATCAAGTCAGTCTCATTTTTTCTATGTTGACTTACATTTCGTGATAGGCGTTTCTTCGTAGAAACTACGAGACATCCAAAAGAACATGACAATCGACGAGGGTAGTCTGATGTCACATGCCATCTAGCTGCGGTCCTTTTGACTGCGGGGAAGCAGTGGAGATTGAGTGGTGAAGAGAAGGATCTGGAAGAAACAGACGAGGTAAGGTAGCAGTTATCGTTGCATTGAACAGATGAGCAAGGGACGTAAGCATTGCATGATATATTTATATCACAGGGGAAAATGTAAACCAACCTTGTTGCGCTCTTTGCAACGAAATCCTTCTAATTTGAAGCAACAAACTGGTTTGACCGAGGTGTTCGAAAGTGAATGTGTTCTCACATTCGCGCCGATTTCTTTTCTCCACGCGCATCGAGCTCTGCGTTCAGCGCTTGCTCGAGTGAGACGCTCTTTGACCGGTACCGCTGCTCTATCTCAGACTCCTCATCCTTCATCGATAGCGCGTAATTTGCAGTGGCCTTGCCCGGAACAGCAAACTCGATGAAACTGTTATGTTTCGATTCGTTCGCACTCTCGAGATCCAGTAAATCGGTTGCCGTAGCCCGGATGCTGAGATTGCGTACGCGATTGGCCGTCGGCTGGTTGAAAGAATCTCTGTCCCGCGTCCTCTGCATGTCCTCCCTGATGTGTTTCCTGCCATTCAAGATCCACAGCGCAGAAAACGCGTAGAATTTGGGTAGAAGCTGGCCGGTGACAAGCGCAATGGCTGCCTGGACATCGATCGGCCCGACAAGCGAGTGAAGACTGGGCGAGGCCTGCGATACACTCAGATTGATCAGCGCGCAGACAGCGCCGGGCGCGGCAGAGTGCATGGTGAGTGTCGACAATCTCTCGAGAATGCCCGCGGTGTCACGTGAGACTTGTTTGGCGGACGCCTGTTGCAATGATGGATCTGAGCGTGAAAAACGAGACGGACGGGCTTACGAGCAGGAAATACACCGTCAGTCCGCAAAGCAGGGCATCCCCGACGAAAACAATAGCCAGATACGCGGCCGCTATAATGATCAGGGCCGATCGCTCAGAAAAATATGGACAGAACGGACCCCATATCAAACTGACAACCGAGGCAAGAAGAATCTGTTGCGATTAGTTCCTCGGCCACCGTCGAAGAAATCAAATTCTCGCGCGTACCGCTATTAAGCCACTTATCATGGCCACAGTAAATATGAGCCCCAGCGTCAGTGTCAACCACAGTCGTCGCGAAAGCGTCTGGAAAAAGAGAGATAGTCAGCCGGCAATGCGCACCGGACACAGGGAGAGGGTACCCAGATGCGCCAACAGAAGAAGAGCTGAACATAGAATACGAGCACGACGCCGGGAATGAAGGTGGATTGAAATTTGGTCAGGTATTGGGACGTAGGTCCTGTGGGAAGTAGGACCGTGCCCAGGTTTTCCATCTGAACCTCTGTGATCACTCTGCCCCGAGCGTCAGATGCATATCTGAGACGCGAAAAAAAGCCGCACATCGAGTGTATGGTCATCCCAAGAGAGAGGACGAAGAGAGTTCCTAGCCACAAGCGCAGAAGGAGCGGATCCGTCCGGTGGAAGCCATTTGATACGTAGTGGGAAAACTGCACCAGCAGGATCCCTTGTAGAAAAACGTCGCCGTTGACTGCGAGGTTCTTCTCTGTCGTCAGCGGTTGTCGCAGGAGCACCGCACCATTGGACTTACCCAGCCTCCCAGACCATACTTCAACAAAAGCGAGGCTTCAGGCGACACCTGGAGATTGGGGGGAAGAGACATATGCCGCAGCACTGGCCAAGCGCTGTTATGATCCTAATGGCCGCAGCCTGCTACGCGATCCACGTGAGTTTTCTGCGACGTTCGCTTCCTCTATGTGTCTTGCATTCATCCTTCTGCAAAGACACCTCACGAAAGGGCATGCGGGAGGATCCTGAGGGCTGCATGGATAGTAGGTCAATATTTAGCATTGGCGGTGGCTGTTGACGATTGCGTTGATCAGGAAGTAAGTTAGATCTTAGGTACTTAGGTTCAGATCTGATGGGGACGTCCTGTCACATCCCATACAAGTACATCGTTGAAAGCGAAGCGGTGTGCGTCAATCCCAATCGAAAAGCGCGTTTTGAAGTGGACGAACTCTGCAAACTGACCATGGCAGTTCTACAATTTTAACAGAGAGATATTCTGCGGGAAGCTACGTCACTGAAATAGAGAGATAAAATAGGCCCACGGCTACTATGCTGAGATGGTGCAACGCTGTAAATCGCGGGCAAAGCTTGCAATTTTTCTTTTTGCAGTTGTCATCCTATCTGAGAGCCAGAGGGGAGTTAACAATCAAGTTATTCATCCACTGCGATCAGTTGGGTCTCGTAAAATGTGCCTCAGCTGAGAGAGCACGAAATTGGACGGAACTTGGCTCGAAACGCTACAAAAAGTTCCAACTCAAATCAATCCGAATGTACACTGCAGTGGACCTCAGTCCGATATAATGCAAATCATCGCTCAAACAGCCAATTTGGCAGTGTAAATCAGCCTCCGGGAAACTGATCCATCGGGGAGTAGCCGTGGCCGAGCTCCAGTTGATTTTAACTGGTCTCCTTTTGGCCAATCAAATCGCACGTCCACCATCTTATGTAAGTTGTCACTCTCATCAGATAGAAGGACGGCCATCACTTCCTGATCGAGGCCGTCTCGCATTTACCTTCCATCCACATTGAGAGCAGTTTGCTCAACTTTACTGCCAGCCAATCCAAAGACTGTCCGAGCCGCATTTGCGTACAAGATCCAATCAATAAAGGATCTTATTGACCCTACCGAACGCGGCTCTCATCCAAATCCACTCTTTCTCACGAGTTTTCGCAATGCTTTCCCTTAGCACATTTCTCCATCGCTTTACGGTATCATGCTGATGCAGAAGGCTCTTCCCAACAGACCCTGACCGCATGTCTCCACCTGCGCGCTTCTGCGATGTCGGAATAGCACGCGGCGCACCCGCGGCACGTCCACCTGTCTGATTTCAGGCCAAGTGTAAACTGACAGACGCAAGCTTGGTCACAGGACATTCCGTTTCCGTCATACATACCCGTCGGCGTCCGGCTACGCTAGGATCCGGTGAGCCTTGTCAGAACACAGACGGTGGAGCACACCCTACGCACTGCACGCTACACGAACTTCGCCTCACCTCAATTTGACTCCGCCACCTCCGAAGACGACGAGATGTACCTCAAGTCCCCGTTCCCCGCGCTCCCGACGCTGCCCGAGATGAATTACTATCACGCCATGTTTGGGCGACCGGATCAGGCGAGTGCGGTCTCTGGTCGTTCCGTGCAGCGTGCTCAAGAACGAGCGCGTGCCAGGTGGACTGGCCGGATTACACAGTCCAGATCGAGGCACGGACGGGTCGGAAACGCACCTTCAAGCAGCTGCGAGAGCGGATCGCGTGGGGAGCAACGGCCTTGGGCGGGAAAGTCGAGGATGGGGGCTTGGCCTTGAGCGGAGGGGGAGACGAGATCGTGGCGCTGCTTGGCGACAACTCTCTCGTACGTCGTATTCCGTTGATGGATAGGGACTTTCAGCCCATGACGACCAGGACTTCATTGACGCGTGTCTGTCTCTGCTGGCAATCGCGACGCCCTTTGCACTGATCTCGACGTACTCGACCCCGTTTGAGCTCGTCCACGGCCTCAAACTGACGAAAGCCACCCGCGTCTTCGTCGATGCTCATCTGCTGAAGAAGCTCCTGGTGGCGAACCGCGAGGTGCACATCCCATTAGACAAGATCTACATCCTCAACGGGTCGGCTACCAAGGGTCACAAAAGTCTCGCTCAGCTCATCGACGGAGTACGGCTGAGAAAAATCGCTCTGGAGGCCGTGCGGCCGGCCACGAAGGACACGCTGGCCTATCTGGTCATGTCCAGTGGGACCAGCGGTCTGCCGAAAGGTATGCAGGGAGATGATCTCAGTGGCAAGGACTGAATGGCCGTCAGCGGTAATGATTTCGCACGGGAACTTGTTGTGTTCGATATACCAGGGCATCATCCTTGCCCAAGTGGCAGACCCGTTCAATGTGAGCTCTGAAGCCTTGTGATGCCATGGCTGCTGATGTAGAAACTCGCGCAGCCCAACAGGCGGCCTTCAGAACTGGTCGCGCTGGGTGCTCTTCCGATGTTCCATTCGTACGGGCTCCACTCGTATGTCTTCAGATGCACGCTTGTTCAAGCTACCTTCGTGATTCTCCCTCGATGGAACACAACGGAGTACTTGCAAGCCATCCCCAAGTACGTCTCTCCCTGCCTTGTGCCCACGATTGCTGATTTGCGATCGCAAGATACCGAGCAACCCATCTCGCGCTGATCCCATCAGCGGTGCACCAGATCGTCACCCACCCCGACCTGCGCAAGACAGATCTGAGCTCCGTGACCTCCATCATCTCCGGCGCAGCCTACCTCCCGAAGCAGTTGGCGGACAAGATGACGAGCCTGCTGTCCAACGGCTCCGAGGTCTCACAAGGCTACGGCCTCTCCGAATGCGTAATGAGCCTTCCGTGCACCCCGTCTGCCCCGCGCGTATGTACTGACCGCTGTGCCTAGACGATCGCCGCGCTGACCCGGCCGTACGCCGGCATGCTCGGCATGGGGGCGCCGCCGCCAAACGTGACAGGAATCCTGCTGTCCGGGCTGGAAGCCCGCACCGTGCGCGAGGACGGCAGCGAGGCCGGCCCCAACGAGACCGGCGAGCTGTGGCTCCGCGGGCCGAACATCACGCTTGGGTACTGGAACAACCCGAAAGCGAATGCGGAGGCGCTTGCGGGCGACGGGTGGCTGCGGACCGGAGACCAGTTCCGGATTGACGAGAAGGGGTACTTCTTGTGAGTGGCGTCAACTCCTAGTCAATCTAGTTGTGTGCTGACGCGTGGCCGGATAGCTTCGTAGATCGTGGCAAGGCAAGTACCAATAGAGGCATAAATAAGACAAACAGCTTCAGCTGATCCCGCTACAGGACACGCTCAAGGTCTCCGGTGTGCAAGTATCGCCGAAGGAGATCGAGGACGTGCTGTTCTCCCACCCCGGTGGCCTGCTCACCGATGCGACCGTCGCGGGTGTCAGCGGCGGCCGCACGTTTGACGAGAAAGTGCCCCGGGCGTGGATCGTGCTCAGCAAGCACGGGAGAAAGACGGGCGAGGCCGCTGTCATCAAGGCTTTGCAGGAGTGGCACCACGAGAGGCTGAGCAAGTACAAGTGGCTCCGGGGTGGGATCGAGGTGGTTAGAGAGGTGAGTTTGTATCTCAGGGAACACCGCCCTTGTCTCGACACCACCAACCCTGTGCAGATCCCGAAGAACGCTACGGGCAAGACGCTGCGGCGAGAGCTGCAGGCCAAGTACGAGGCCAAGGTGAAAGCCAAGCTCTGATTCGAAATGATCAACAGTCCCAGTTGAGCATGATTATGAATTAGTCGATAATTACAGTGAAATGTTTGACATATCGGGTTTCATGCAGGAGTGCTATATACCGTTCTTCAGTTCCAGAGCTCATGAACAGATATCACGCATAAGCTGGAGGCAAGATGTATATAGATTCTCCGTGCACAAGTATCGTTCCATCCGTCGAGAACGGCAGCAAAACAATCTCCCCATCGGTTCCGTGGTAGAGCGGGGTCATCGACTTCGATCGCGACAGGAGGTCAGAGCCGTCGTCGTGAACACCGTCTGGCGCTGCGGAATTGCACAGCTCGTCTGCCCGAAGGTGAAGTGAGAAACGCATAGTTTCAGTTCATTAAATGTACGCACCGTGTTTCCCGGCACCACGCCACAGCGCACTCGCGGAATATGGTGGCGGATCCGTCTCGTCCGGCGCGACGCAGTCCTCTTCAGCACGCTCGCGATGCCGCACCACGACGTGGAAAATCACTGCCCCAAGAAGCAGAACGGCAACGGCACCTAGCGCGCAGTCAACTCCAAAATCGCCAGGACAAAGCAGGCTGCTGTGGTAGCATACCGAGGATGATCGCGTCCGCGGTGAGGCACACGCCGCCTATTAGCGCGCGGCAGGCATCGTTCATTCCACCGGCGGGTTCGCTCTGCCAAGTGGCGCGTGGAGACAGCGAGAGAGCAGGCATGGCGCGAGCGCAGTACAATGGCAGAAGACTAGTGCAGCGGATATGGGAGAGGGGAAGGGAACACGCGATCGGAGTGACAGGACATCGCGGAGTGCGGAAAGGGGAACCTGGGCCGATGCTAGTGCGGCCCAGAGGGCGGGGGTTGGGCTGACCGAAGCGGCCTAAAGTAGCTCGGCGAGCCGGGAAGTAATCAAGGAACTGCAGATGTCCGGTATTCGCGAGGAAATGACGCGTCGATGGTGCTCTGCGCAGGCACAAGTGCTACGATTTGTAAGTAGGGTGATGTGAGGATAGGCTGGCTGGTCATGCACATTGGTTCTAGCTCAGCAGAGTGCCCGCGGAGGCATCCTTGGCTCGCCGCGTCCGCCGTCCATGGTCATCCCCCGCAATCAGGATGATCTGATCACCATCTTATCTCCTTTGACAGGGTGTTCATCACCACCCCTTCAGGAGGACGCAATGTTACATGTTCACTTGAGGAAAGGAGATGTGATTCATTTATCATCGAGTTCTTCACCACGGGGGACTGAACACTGGATTTGTGTGATTTGCAATTTCTCCTAGGGAACACTGGAAATCTCTACTTTTCATCGAAGAGAACAGACTACTCGGTCACACGGTGGAACTAGACGTTTACGCTCAGAGTGAAAACCTACTTCTCTACTTGTATTTCTATTTCAACCTTGCACTGTCTCACGCATTTTTCTCTAGGAGCACACTTTGCATTTATTAGTGTACAGTATACATGGGACAACGTACATTGAGGTGTATATATATATCATCGTTAATAACCCTGAAAATGGAGAAACTACACCCCCCGCAATCTATCTAACAATATCGCCCATTCCACCACAGTGACCCCACGCCGTAACACCTGCTCTCTGACCTCCCGATTCCTGGTTTCAGCTGATAATCTGCCCACAGCTCGCAGGTGGTCCATAGTCCGAATTCCGACCTTATGCAGCACGGAGGAGATGTGCAGCAGAGAAGGCTGGCACGAGCAGAGAAAGTCGTCCAGCTCCTCCGCGGATTTTGGAGGAATAGAGCTGATGATCGAGCCGGTGTGTTTCAGTGCATGAAATAATGGCGAATCGAGGGGCTGGATTAAAGTCCCGCTTCCCTTGGGCGTGGACGTTCGTGGATCGGAGGAGGGTTTGCTCGAAGTGGAAGGATGGTGCCGCAATGGTTGCCGACCAAATTCCTGGTTCCAGATCAATGGGATGTTCTCCACATCAAACAAATCTGGGTCTTCTCACCGATATGCTCTCAGTCCTTCTCCCACCTTGAAGGACCTTGCTCGAGGGGATGGACGGGCTCCGGTCGACCATCGGCCTCGTTCCTTCCTCCCGTACACGAACATAGGCACCCTCCGCGTTGACATAGCAGACGCTCATGCCGTCGTCGATCTCCGTCTCGTGGATCACCTGCTCACGCCACGTGGAGATCGATACCGTTCGCTCCGGGGTCTCTTCGACGACTTGCACGTCGACCATCTCGTACTCCTGGCCCCCGTGCTGTTGCTGCGGCGGCGGATCGGCAAAGTGGGAACTGCGAACAGCGACGATCAGCAGCATCCTCGAGGAAAGGGTAAACGACAGCGAACTCTTGCACACTCCCGCTCTTGATCCTATCCACGGGCCTCGTCCGCCGCAACGTCCGCTCGCGGATGATCTCCGCGACGTGCTGCCGCGCCATCGGCCATCCCTCGACGGACGGACCGCGCCTCGCCGCGGGGCTGAGCGGCGGGATGCTGATGCTGGGTGGGGGCGACGTGACGCGCGTCGCAGCGTCCAGGTGATCGAGCAGCCTCGAGGCGCGCGGATCGACGGTCGCTGTTCGGGTCGCACGGGACCACCGCTGAGTATGTGTGACCGCCGCATCGAAGTCGCTCTCGAGCGGAGCCGAGCTGAGGGGCGTGTCGGCTCGGAGCCGCAGCGCATTGCTACTGCCGCTGCTCTCCCTAGCGTCGAAGCGGCGGTGGACATGCTGAGATCCTGCGCGGGGGAAATCAGCGCTAGCACGGTCGTGCAGAGACATCAGCAGCATGGCTGCCGCGTGTTGCGAGGCCCGCGGTTACGCACCGGACATCCTTCTTCTAAACCCTGCCACTCGAGTATCGAAGCAGGCCGTGAAATGGCTCGGGCGAAGCTGAGTTTCGCGAGCTTGTTTGGGTGAGAGTCCAAGGGTGTGCATGCTCCTCACGGTAGACTCGCGTTCCGTGCATTGGAGTGAAGGCTATTCACAGAAACGAGGTCAGCCAACACGAGGCAGGAGCATGTTCTGATGAGGTCACCTCCGACACGTGCATTTTCCCGAGACATTTCCCGACAGCTCGGCCGCGCGTGCTACCCAAGATGCGTTACAAACCACCCTTTCGACAGTCGAACTGAAAACGCCAGAAGTTTTCAATGAGGAGCTAGCTACAAGTCCTGCAGGGGCTGTGGGTCCGCAAGTGATGTGAAGGGGAAGTGCACAATACGTTGCTTCTCTTCCTCATCAGCCGTCCTTGTCATCTGGCAGGTTCGATGGCGTCGTCGCCACCTAAGCGGGGTTTGAGCGGAATATCTGTCAAATTGCAGTGTGTATGAGGTAGTCAATTAGTCGCTCGGCCATGCTAGAGGCGGGGTCGCTCGAGCCATGCGTGCACCCAGTCTGTCCTTCACAAGTCTGGGCACGCCGAATCCTTTTTGACAGGAAATCCAATGTAGTGAGAGTTTCACAAAAGCCTAGTTTCTTGGCCAGAAGAACGGCCTCGAAATCGTCGAAGGGGATGAGCGGACATGTCCTATTGAGTTTAGACTGATCCCATCATATGATGCCATCGGTACGCCGTTGGGCATCACCGAATGTTCCCTTCAAGTTGAGGCTCATCTAGTACTACTCAACCTAGAATCCCTACATGGCACTCCCTTCTGCCTCCTCGAATAAGTCCGAATCCCGCCTCGACCAACAATCCCACGTCGCATCAAACACAGGCCTCAGATGCAGATGGAACCGCGCGGCCTTCAAATCAAAACCGGCCTCCTTCAGGTTCTGTATGGCCCACCGATAATCCGTCTTCGTCTCCGTCACGAGCACAAGCATGCGGAGTTGCGAATCCTGCGCCGCCATCAGGCTGCGGATCACGGCAGTAGCAGCGCTCTCGTCGGGTGTGGAGACCGCGGCCCACTCGACGGCGAGGTACGCCAGCGACGGGAAGGTGGTGAGAAGGGACTCCGGATGCGCAGGCAGACGCGCGCTGAGTCCCAGGTGCGTGACGTTTCTGCGCCACGGCGCCGAGTCTGCCGTAAGGCCCTCGACGTCGGCCACGAGCAGGCGGGTGATCGGGAGCGGGGAGAGCAAGGGCGCAAGCGCGGCGTAGGTGCTGCTGCACGCGACGTCCGACGCGTTGGTGCAGACCTCCAGCGCGCGCTGTATGACGTGTGACTCGATGCCGTGGTGGAAGTACAGTGTGCGCACGTGCGCGGCGAAGAAGGACGGCGGTCGGGAGGCCAAGGTCCGAAGGAAGAGCGCCTCGGTCGGTGCTCCGTTGTGTGGCTGCAATATGGAGATCTTCCTGTAGATAAGTGGCTCAATCCTGTCCTCGCTGTGGTCAACAAAGGCTCGAAAAAATACACGCTGCGACTTACCATTGCCGAACCCGCTGGCAGACCAGAGGCAGAAGAAGCGTCGTGCTCCACACACTATTGCGGCTCCAGTCTTCTACCCAATCGCAGCGGACTACCATCTCGAATATCTCTCGTTCTAGTTCCGGCGGAAGGCGCGGAGGGCCTGAGATATTCTCTTTCAGCCTGAGACCGACATCGGTCGCCGAGGGACTGTCATCCTTCGTCGAGGCAGGGTTCGCTCGTCTTGATTTCGAAATCCGTTTCTTAATCCTGCGCAGAATGCGCTTCATGCCTCTACTTCGGAGAGGAGACTTGCGAGGAGGCTGTGCCATTCCCAACAGCTGTTCCTATCACGTGCGTTTCGCGTTTCGGGTGGCGTCAGCAGCGTTGGCAGGTTGATTTTTAGGTTCTCAGACTGTGATTGTCACTGACGCACTTGACTCTTGCTGTTCTGCTTCTCCCTTGTTCGCCGAATTAGCATCAGACCGCGTCGGCCAATCGGGACTGCGACTTGAAGCTCCCCATCCAATCCAAAGTAGCTCTTCAGAGGCCGTAGTCGTGCTTAGGGCTAAGTGCATCCTGATCTAAATTGGGTTCAGGAATCTCAGCGACGAAAGGCCTTACAAATAGTCCGCTACAAGGAGACTAATTTCAGGATGCAGTCTCTAGGGCCACGATAGCCCTCCGCTTAGTTCTACTCCTGCGAATTTCATGGTCAAGCGCTGTGGGACCAGACCACATTCGACGCGCACCCCTACAATTCTCGGCCACTGCATAGGCAAACTGGTAGGACCACGTCTTTTGAGTTCAGCCGTAGCTGAGAGATCGTCAGCGTCGCATGAGACGTTCTGCATCCTTTTGTTTGGATTTTATGACCAGTCGAATTTTCTCACCTATCGGCGAACTGGGGGACATGAGACACGTAATGTCATTGAACAGTCGTGAACTCATCAGCTGTACTAAGTTTTCTTCGGCGTAGTGCAAAGTAGATCGCTCAATTCGAATTCGTATTGAGTCGAAGCGTTTAGTGCTTCCCGGCTGCTACCTTCTGATCAAACAAGCGGAGCATTTATCGAAGCAGCTTTCTTCTGTACTTCTGCAATCTACCATCGCGGGATGCGCTCGAGCATCAGACGCTTTTGTTTCTTTGCCTGCATTCCAGAGCTTCGATCCCTGCCGGAGCTGGTATCGAGTCTTGAATATTGGTAGATTGCTCCAGGACTGAGATTCCGCGAAGGGATGAAAGTGGCAGTGTCGGACTATCAGATGGACATTTTGGCAATAGGCCACCAATCAAAAGTCGATCGGCTCCGCCGTGACTGTTCGCGTCGGTCACACCGCGCTTGAGTCACTCTCGAGTCGTGAAGCATGTGGCACGGTGAGTAAGCGGATGGTCGAGATGAGTCATTGATCACAGCGTATACGTATATAGGTCTGTATACGCTCCCCCAATCGCCGAAAGCTTTCCTCCTTCTCTGCTCAACTGTACCCCTCTTTGTTCGTGGGCTGTTGAACACGAGACTTCACGTGGTCGCGGTGCCCTGTCCCGTGATGCTCTGCCTCCGGCCCGGCCGCCCTTACGTTGTTCAGCTCGTGCACGACTTGTGGTTCATTTCCGAAGCGCTGCGCGCCGCCTTAGGCCACAGGCCGTGGTCGCCGCACATGCGGCCGAAGCCAGCGCCCATCTGTCAAAGAAATGATGCTCTCCCGGAGGTTCCTGATGCTCTCCCTGATGTTCTTGATGCTCTCCCGGCCCGCCCCTATTAGATATCTACTTCCAAGATCCGTCCGCTCCTGAGCAATAACCCCGAAATCTTCCCCCGTGCTCCTGGGCATTACTTTTAGGGACTCTTTATCTCTACGGCGACCCTCATCTCAAGCGCTTACGTATTCTCTTGCTCGCTGCTTGACCGACTGAATTTCGCAACGTGCGATCGGAAGAAGGCTGTGAAGTGATACGAATCAGGACGACGGGGCTCAAGTCAGCGCCCAAAGCCGCATGGACACGTAAGTATGTGCACGGAAGCGGTCAATCAACGCAGTCCGGTGCCGCAAAGCTGACTCGAAAGTCTGATCGCGAGCACAGTCGGTCGCACCAGCGAGCGCGCCGTTTGCCACAGCAGGACATGCACATGGAGAGGCCCATACGTGGCAGCTGGGCGCGACAGCCCTGACGTTGATCGTTGTCGTTGTCCAGGACACTGCGGCACAGCTCTCGTCGACAGCGCCTTTCATTTGCGCGGGAGGCGGAGTTTCAAATAGAAAGCTGTGTAATAATATGCCTTATAAGGCACGCGGCGAGTCATGAATAAGATATCTTGCTTGTAAAGCATCCCCCACCACACGACTGACGCAGATTCGACTCATCTGCTTCAGCCGTCCCCTGGCCGCCCAGCAGTTCACCTCTGAGGCATCTGTGAGTTCGCTTTCCGTTCGTCTTGGTTATCGGGCCGTGGAATACTCGTTATCACTACTGCATCGCGCCATGGACACGGATATTGTTGACCCATCGTGCTCCAAGTGGGCTGAGGCGTCCTTTGTGACGTCTGCCGGACACACACAAATAAGGGTTCTGTCCCAAAATGGCCTCCCCTCGTGGCGCGCGTCTCCGATGTTGTCGTCCACGGCTGCGGACGTCCAATCCGACGACGACGATCTATTGTTGAACTCAAGGCTGACTCGGGTTTCCAGACGTAGCCCGGCGCCACTGTCCGCGCTGTCGCGCACAACACATCAGTCTTACCCCGAAACAGTCGTCGCCATTCCCGCCCACTCCAGCAACATCTCAACCACCAAAGATAAAGATGTCGTACCAGTGTTAAACAAGTCGTTCTCCTTCCGTCCACCATCACCAGCACCTCTCTTCACTGGGTTTTCATCAACACTGAGCGCCTCTCCACAACATGTTCCGATAAGCGACAGCAACTCCCGTCCATATGGACACCTTTTACCCGGCACACTACCTCCACCACCGTCTGTAAAACGCACAGCTTCTGCCCCTACGATGTCAAGCACAAACGCACCCGCCGCGACTACGGTCGCACCGAGCCAGGTCCTCGCGGACGTAGATGCTCTGCTGGCCGAAATCCAAGGTACTGCGACCCCCATGTTGACTCCCCCGTCGTCGTTGTCTTCTGACTCGGGATCTGCCCTAGCGTCACCCGAGTTCCGTCTCGACGATGACTTTTCCGTCGGGTCCTTTGGCGACGAACCCGTTATACCCATGGGCGACATCTTGACCGCCGACGCAGCACCTCTCTTTGCCGGCTTCCTCACCGCCTCGCCCTTCCTCTCCTCCCCCTTCTCGCCCATGATCTCTGATTATGGCACCAGCCCTGAGATGACTCCGATCTCTGAGATGGGCACCCCATACTTGGGCGTCGAGGACTCTCCCCTGATCAACGACTGTGATGACTTCTTGAACGGAGATGCCCTGTTCGGTGGCATCGACGAGTCATACGCGGCACCGATGACTCGTTCCGACGTCGATAAGTCGAACGATGTGGATCTGTCGAAGCTGTGGACTTTTAGCCCAGCGCTCAACGACCAGCACTCATTCGACCCGCCCTCCATGACTGGCCCAGTCATCCCCCCTCCGCCCGTCCTCCATCGTCGACCTGTCATCGGAGCGACTGGGACGCGTAAGAATGTCACGCCTGCGACATTGATCGACGACAATGCCCCGACCCAGAAGCGCAACTACCTCACCCCGAGCGCGACGAGCCGCAAGGCCGTGCCAGATGCGTTCCGCAAGCGTCTGCACAGCACAGCGTTCGTCGGTGACACGGACGAGGTCGAGCCCAGCGTCAGCGACGAAGACGCGATTGCGGCCAAGCGGCGCCACAACACAGTCGCCGCGCGCAAGAGCCGCAAGCGCAAGCTCGAGTACCAGCAGCACATCGAGCGGCGGGTGGATGAGCTCACGGCGGAGGTGACCATCTGGCGCGAGCGCGCGCTGATGGCGCAGGCTCTGCTGGCGAAGCAGGGCACCGTCTTTTCCTTCGAGTCGATGTAAGCGCGTTGATGAATTTATGAAGCCTCTTTTTGTGTCTGTATGTGTCCTACTGCTCCCTTCGGTGTCTCGTGTATCGCTCCCTGCCTTTCCACTCCATCTCACTCCAACCCCCATCCATTTGTAGAGCACCGTCGTACCATCCATCCATCTATGTTTCTCCCGCCATCTCGCGATCTAGCGTATGTCGTCGTGTACCTGTCATGTTGGTCGCCGTCTTTTTTTGAACGAAGAAATGAAACCAATTGTCCGCTCAAAGCACGCTTTTTCGTGAGAAGATTCTTGATTCGTGATCAAGTGAGACTTGATAGTAGGGGCTAGACCAAAGGCATCATTCAGTACCTTCTACTTGAGTACACGAGGGCAAGATATTTCATCAGCGGCGAGGTGGTTGGAATGCCAATCATATATTCATAAAATCAGCTTAGAACATCTCTTAGGTGGTCCAACGGTCAAGATTCCCGCTTGTCACTTCTGTGTCTTCGCGGGCGACCGGGGTTCGACTCCCCGCCTGAGAGCTTTTTTCAATTGTCATTCTTCGCAATTCTTCTTTTGTGACCTGTCTGTCATCACCTGTTCCATGTCCAGCGGCCCGGCGTCCCTCGGACCATCTTTCATCCAGTACTGGCCTATTCCGGATTCCTTCACCCGCCAGATGGTTTCTCATCGTCCACCCACCCCGCCACTGATTGTCGCTCTCATGCTCTGTCACGACTTTTAGCCGATGCGGCCCACTGATCTCTCGGTCTTGTCCACTTCAGTGAGGAAGCGCCGACACCATTTCGCCACTTGCCGCGAATAGCACCAACTTCTGAGACTTCTGCGCCCTTCTCCTTGTGCCCCAAACCTGCTATTGTCACCCGAGCCTTGAGGCTCGTTCGTGGGATGGTACCGGTCTTTGTGCGGAGTCTCTTGTCTCAGATGCTCTGCCTCGTGTGCAGAAACGCTCTCACCCTCCTCCCCCGTTACCCTTCTCATGTGCGCGTATCGACCCCCGGGACTCGCAGGGGCATCCGCCCCGCCTTGTCCGTTCTTCCTGAAAAACGCATGCACGTTCGGCGACAAATGTCGCAAATCCCATACGCTCCGCTCTTCCACTCCCCTCGCTAGTCGCGTCCTATCCCAGACCAACGAAGCCCCAGCTGCGCTCCCATGCCCCCATTTCTTACGCGGGGTGTGTCGTTTTGGCGATCTGTGCACCAAATCGCACGCCGACCTGCTGAGCTCGACGGCGGCGCCCCCGGAGGTGTGCACACACCATCTGCGCAGGGCGTGTCGCTTCGGCGAGCGGTGCTTAAAATCGCATGCAGTGCCCATGTGGGCACCATCCCCTACTGCTGAAGTCACGCGTCGAAGCCTCCTTGCCAGTTCTTCGCAAGGGGGAGTTGTATGAAAGGGACGAAATGCACGTTTTTGCATGCTGCTCCTGCTGCTGCTGTGGCCCGTGAGAATGAAGGTGCTGAGGTGTTGAATTGGAGAGTGGGCCCTGCCCTGTTGGGGCCCAATCTCACTCCCGATCCTGATCCCAGCTCCAGTCCTCATCCTCCCATTTCCAATCGCACCACATCGCCCTCTGGGTCCACGGTCTGTGATTCTTCCAATCATTACTCTGATCACCTTGGCTGAACACAATTGCAGCATCCGGATGCCATCAGCTCCGACCTGACACACGAAACCACCGAACGCGTGTTGTACAATTGCAGCGTCACATTCGGCGCAGGCGGCTCGGTCACTCAGGTGGTCACGCCTTTCGATGCCTGTCGCATCAGAGTCTCCGGGATCCCTTCGCTCACCGACGCAGAGATTTCGGCTCAAATCGCAACGGTGTTGGCGAATCACGGCGGTGCACAACTGCAAATACAATGGTTCGGAGCTGACGCGCATCCGATTGCGATTGCAGACTTTACCAACCCCGCTGCCGCCGCGGCAGCCGTCGGGGAACTTGAAAGGATCACATTCGGGGAGGTGGAGGGTGGGACTAACCTGGTGTGCGCATTGGAGAGAACGGGGGCAAAGTTGTCGGTGACGGGCGGTGCTGAGGAGAGAGGATTCTTCCGGGGCCGAAAAGTCAAGCTGACGTGGTATGGACGACGGATGTCTGCGTTTGCGAACTACTCGTCCGACGCTACGGCAAAGAACAAGTGCGAAGAGCTGCACGGCAAGGTTTATTGTGGCCATACGATTTCTGCGACGTACCGGCCCATTCAGGCTGTCGCTCGCCGAATTCGAGGAGGGATGTTTTCCAGTGTGATCTCCGTCCCTTCTCGTTCGTTCACCGTGATGCTACGCAACCTGCCGATGGACGTCGACGAGCGATCGCTGAAGTGCTTCTGTGATGCCGACAGCGTTGGATTTGATCCTCCACGATGCCCAGAAAACGTGCACTACGAACTGATGGATGTGCTGGAGCGGTTCGGGGCCGTCGATACCCTGGACGTCTTGCCGATGACGAAGACGAGCTCGAAGGTGTCTGCGTTTGCCCAGTTCCACACTGAAGCGGGTGCCACCGCCGCTGAAGCCGGTTTGCGTCCCAACCCGCCCGCGTTCTTCGGCAAATCGCCCTTCTTCATCGAGCGCACTCTGTCCGTCAAATACAACCGGATCCCCGCGACTCTGTTCGCCAAAATCCGCGGGCCGGTGGATTTGCTGGCGGGTGTGTATCCTGAGATGATCAAGTACTATCTCGGAGAAGCGGAGCACTCGGATCCGGTTGTCCTGGTCCTGCATAGCACCGACTCGAAGCGACTTGCTAAGGTCAAGAGCGAGGTGGACCGGATCGTGCAGGGAGAGCTGCTCATCCAAGACGGATCCAAGTTCTGGGTCCCTTTCTTCGAGACACAGACCGGACTCCAGTTCATCGAGGACATGTACCTCCACCACGGTGTCTTCGTTCGATGTGACCCGCGGACCCGCACTGCTCGGATGTTCGGATCTGAGGAAGAAAGGGCTCGCGCACGCAAGTTGATTGAGCAGAAAGTCGCAAAACTGAAAGCGCAGAGACACGAGATTCCGCTGAAACGCGAGTTGATTCGGATCCTTCTCAGGGGCGACCTGAAGCAGCTGCAGACTGCCGTGGACCCGCAACAGGAACGACTCGTTCTCGATGTCGTCGCTCTCAAGATCATGCTTGATGGAGATGCGGGCCACGTCGGCCGATTGCGCACGGCGCTGAATGCTCTGGATGGGACCATTGCGAAAGACGCAGGACCCATCTTGGACCTCAGCTGCCCCGTGTGTCTCTGCGACATAGAGGATGCGGTGCAGCTCGATTGCGGACATGCCTACTGTCGGACCTGCATCCAACATTACATCAAGCCCGCAAGCGGCACTGAATTTACTCCTCGGCTTTGCGTCGCAGGGAGCTTTTCTGACGGCGGCAAATCGATCCCATGCAGCCACGCCATACCGTACCGAACGATCCGGTCTCTGCTCGATGCAGGCGCCGAAGACGAGCTTCTTCTGACCTCGTTTCTGACACACATCAACACTCGTCCGCAACAATTCCAGTACTGTCCGTCGGCCGACTGCCAGATGGTCTACCCGATCGGGATCGACTCGGACGAGGAGAACGCAGCGATCCAATGTCCGTCGTGTCTCGCGCGCATCTGCACCACCTGCAAAATCGAGTGGCACGATGACCTCACCTGCGCCGAACACAAAGACAATCTCACCGGCAACACCGCTCTGCTGAATCAGTGGCGAGCCGAGCACGAGGTCAAGCAGTGCCCGAACTGCCATGCTGATATCGAGAAGGACGGGGGCTGCAATCACATGCAGTGTGTGCTTTGTCGGACGCACATTTGCTGGATTTGTATGGAGACTTTCCGCGATGGAGATGGGAAACTGGGTATCTATCCCCATCTGAGAAGAGTCCATGGCGGTCACGGGGGTTAGTTACTTAGCACGCACGGCGGTATGATTGTATCCAGGATTTTGTTGGATTCTCCAAGGTAACGGGTATGTCCCTCGTGAAGTTACTCTAGAATCACGTGCAAACTCTCCGCTTTCCCCGAGTAGCCAGGATGTAGAACTCTGGGCTGATTTGAGATCGATACATAATTGATCGAAAAGCCAGTCAAAACAACATAAGTTGTAGGACAGCCCAGACAGAAAATATATCTACGCGATGCACCCAATGAAATCATTTACAGCGTCATTTACAGCGTCGTTTGATACTGACCCGGTGGCTTCCGGCGCCTGCGTGGCCGACAGCCATCTTTCAGTCTGATTTCCAACAAAGCAGAAAAAGGACACGCACCAAGCCCAGACCTTCGTCAACAACAGCTTCCACTCGCGATCCCCGACTTGCTCCAGACCGACAAACATACGGATATCCTCCAGCAGATCAACCTCCCGCAGGCCCCGCTCGACCTCCTTTGCGCGATCCTCCGTGTTCTCACACCGCGACCACCACGTAAAGAACATATTGTGGCTGTTGATCCAGGGGTCCGAGTGCATCAGCGGCTCCAGGATCCCGGTGCACGGATGGTACACGTCGTAGATCGCCTTGAACACGTCGATGACGCGCAACAGCTCGCCGGTGCGCACGTAGATCCTTCCCACCCGCGGACAGTCGATCGTCATCTCCGTCACAACAAGCAGCGGGGAGACCGGCATGCTGCGGTAGTCCTCCTGCATCGGGAACCATTCGGCGGTGTGGTCACGATTTGTGCAGACGTTAGCTGGGTCGCCCGGGTCGTGTCCGATGTCCCACTGGAGCTGGGGCTTCCAGTCCTCGGGATTGTCGGGGTGTTCGATGAACTTGTCCAACGGCCATGCAAGCGCAACATCTGTGCAGCACATCAGCAAAGTCGGCGTGCCGAGGCGACAATAAACAGCGGACAATTTGGTGGTTGAAACCGCTCGTAGCCCTCCGGATCTATATCAAAGATTGGTGTCTGACGACCAAGAGAAAACTGGACACGAACGTCGTGTTTTGTTCGTCGCGTAGTCCACCCTGTCAGCCGGCCCACCCCATGCGTCGTTGGGATGTATAGGTTCGGGCGGCCGAGCGCGAGTCTGAGCTGGACATGGAGATTAAGCCCGACGCTTCGCTCATTCGCGGGGAGGAGCTCACCGGCGGGATGGGACGACCCTGACGGCCGGAGTATCCCTCGTGGATATGTTCCCAGACTCCGTTGTATCGGCGGAATCTGTGCGCCATCCTGCACAAGAGGGACCGACTGCTCACGCGAGCTCCTTCTCTCCCGCTCTCTGCTTCGTCCTGCCATCGGCGGTGGCATGCCTGCAGCGTTGTAGCCCTCCCGGGCGGAGTTGGGCATCGGATCGACGGCTCGCTGTTTCTCCTTGTCCCACCTCCGCTGCTCCACGCTAGACTGGGCCGCAGATCGGGACGTTTGCCCGAGATCCTCGGCAACATCTCGACTGGCGTAGTCCGAATCCGGCGCAGGAACGACAGCCCGCTGCTTCCCTTTGTCCCTCCTGGGTGGTTCCACGCCGGACATGGGGGTAGACGCAGAGACCGGGTGATGCTCCGCCACCACATCGCGTGTTGCTTGCATCGGATCCAGGACCCGCCGCATTCCCTTCTCCCTCTTCCGCGGCTGCGCCACTCGCGCGAATGTTTCCCCACCTCGTGCAATCTGGATCGGAACCGACCCAACGGGATACATCACGTGTTGGAAGCGCCCAACTGCTCGAGTGCCGGGCTCGGCCGATACGTCAGATGGAACCTGTGACGGGGGCAGCGTTTGTGGGCGGGGGTGATCAGGATATCGATGCGCTGCGGCACCGCTGACGCGCGCATTGTGCCGTGGCTGATGGTGCCAGCCAGACCTTCTGTGCTTCGGCTGGGCGTGGACAGTGGGCTCCGGCGGACGGCTCCATTGGACGGGAATCGGTGGTGGTGGCTGCGCTTGGTGGGCGTGCCCGTTTCCGCTCCAGTGTGGTATCGGCGGCACAGGCATCGGAATCAGTGCATACGGAGGCATGTTCGCATGCACGATGTGGGGTGGTGCGACTGGCGCCGCTGCCGTCCTGTTGCGGCGGAAGCGGTGGATGAACCACGCGTACATGGTGCTTGTCGTGCAGATCGGCTACGATTCTACAGAGCGAGAGAAACACAATAGGTGTGGCCCCTTGGAGCAGTCGAGACCAGCGTGTTGGGACGGGGCGAAGGAACCACGGAAGGTGCCTTTCATCCCACCCACGATGTTCTTATAACGGACGGCCCGCGTGAACCCTGACAGTGCACATGTCTTGATGACGATAAGTCCGATACATGCGTTTTCCTTGTTTGATTTTGTGGGTGCGAGTGGGAACGGAAGAGCGTCGGGCACGTTGCATCTGAGATCGCGAGCGCCACACTGGAGTTCGGGGGCACAGATTGGTCGATCAGCTGACAAATCCCTCGTTCAACGTTGACAACTCCCACGGCCGTCAGCGGGCGACGTGGTTCGAATTCTCGAATATTCCGCAAAGGCGAGCAACAGGGGAACTTGAAGTCAACTTCGTGGACAGCAGCATTGAAACACAACACGAGTGGTCTCAAAATCGACATGCTTGGAGGATGTCCCGCCAGATTTCAATCCGTACCGTGCGTTGCTCCGGCCTGAAAAGTTCAGAATATGTTCGGTCATGCTTGACCTGCAGCATCCCTCACCGACTTCGAGCGCTGCGCTTGCCTACAGTGCCAGAGAACATGTAGGGGATCAACGGCCGAATGTCATGTCAGACCTCGATGATATCGGCCTCGAGGCAGGACGCCGAAATCCCGGATTCTGAAGAAATACGCAAGGAAGATTCCAGATACGTGCGGCAAATCTGACCCGAAACCTGGCTCGGTTAGCTGTGATCAGCTCTCGTACTGGCAAGTCCGGTTTGAGTGAATAGTGAGATGTCAAAGGAGCATTCGGGCTGCTTACTGACTGCAGAGGTTCGTCTCACACGAGTGAGCCCAAGGGTTTCCCGACTGAGGCTCGACGATGTGTATGCGAAGTATAATAGATACCCTACGAGCGGTATAGTCAGGCCGAACCCTCACTCACCTGGAACCTACATGTGTCCCAAAAATTGTCGACCTGCTGACATTAGTGGGCTCAAGTCATTTCAAAGGCTCCGTGAGTTTGCTTCTCTAAGTTCTCTTTTGTAGTCTTTCCAAAACATGTTGGCTATGAGAAAGCTCTGCCCATTCACCGAGCTGATCGCTACCATGATTGGAAGCGAAATTTCATCTAAAAAAATCTGAAGAATAAACTGTAGCCTCAAAATGGCATCTTAGCCTTAGTGGACTACGGGCAGAAGGAGACTGGCTGACTATTCTCCTCTGAACAAGCACGTGATGTATCTGCACAGCATTACAACTTGTCGCCGTTCGTTCACTCTGTCAACTGGGAATTTGAAGCAGGAGCAATTCCAAGCAGGATGGAATCATCCTGTCCAGCTCAAATCTTGTTGAAAGATGAGTCATTCTGGACCGTCACACTCATCCGTTAAGCAGGACCTCTGGAACGATCGGGAAACAAGCGCCGATATTCTACATAATTTCGTCACCAGCCCTTCCCGCCAAAGACCACTCACTGCAGCAGCACCGTTGTCTCAGGCGCTCCTACTGTGCAACAATGACTAGAAGTGACGTCATCGTCGGGTGATCGACGAAGTGAGACATGGGCGGGATTCAGGGCGGGATAGGTAGTGAGACACGGTGCATCGTCACTCCGGATGTAACCAGGCGCTCCATTCTCGACACTGGTATGTTGGGAATGACGTGGTTCGATCGGGCTGAGACATGGGCGGGATATAAGGCGGGATGAGCAGTGGGGCGAAGACCACAGCCCTCTTGCTTCCAACCACCACAACCCAACTTCACATCTTATGCAACGAGAGCTACTGCCTACCACATCCACCCACAATCCATTTGAAACCCATCCATCATGACTTCCACCCGCTCATCCCACGCCCCGCTGCCATACACCCGCCTCCCCGACTTGACGGGATCTACCGTCGAGAACGGCAAACTCAAGTTACTTGAGCTCCTCGGCCACGGGTCATTCGCCAAGGTCTACAAGGCTCTAGACACCCAGTCGACTGCGTCATCCGGGGCACCCATTCACTACGCCGTCAAGTGTCTCTTGAACGGCGAGCCCGGATCGCAGGAGTACAACAACCTCCTGAACGAGCTCAAGAACCACACACAGGTCTCTGGCCTGCCCGGGGTCGTGGCCCTGCACCGCTCCTTCGTCGAGGGCGAGCACGTGTTCGTCGTGATGGAGCTCTGCGACACCGACCTGAACCGCTTCGTCATCGAGCACAAGCTCTGCGATAAGCAGTGCGACGTTGCGAAGCGGGTGTTCTTGGACGTACTCGACGCCGTGGAGACATGCCACGCTGAGGGTGTGTTCCACCGGGACCTGAAACCCGGGAACATCCTGTGTGACGCTGATGGCAAGAACATCCGAATCGCCGACTTTGGTGTTGCGACTCGCTCTGAGGAGTCGAAACAGTTCGGCGTTGGAACCGCTGTGTTCGCTAGTCCTGGTGCGTTCGATATTCCAAGTTTCCGTTTCCGAAACCCCTGACTCACCTGTGTCGCAGAAAACATGGACAAGACCCGAGACACATACTCCCCTCGTGGGACGGACTGCTGGTCGCTGGGTGTGATCCTCATCGCCCTCATGACGAGCAGCCTTCTTTGGAAGGCACCCGTCGAGGCCGACGACACCTACTCCGCGTACCGCGCCGACCCCGCGCACTTCTTGCGGGGGACGCTCGACCTAAGTCCATCCTTCAACTCGCTCGCGAACCGGATCTTCGATCCCAATCCCGCGCGCCGGCCGAGCATTCCAGAGTTGCGCACGGAGGTCGAGGCGATAGACACGTTCGTCGTGCCTCCGCCCGTAGATATAGTTGCTCTGGCTCTGCAGAACCCACTGCACAAGCCCAAAAAGAGCAAGCGCCGGGCGACGCCGCCTCCGGTGGACAGCAGCGCCACCACACCGCGGCGCTCGCTGAGCATTGCTTCGCTGACGAGGAAGCTGAGGAAGCTCGTGCATCGTCGGGCATCGCCGTAGTTTATTTCTAGTCTCTGTCTCTTTTTGTAGAAGCAATCTTATTTCGCACTTGACCTACATGCTACTCGTACATTTGAGTGATTTGAGACTCGGTAAGCTTGGTGGTTGGGCAGTTGCATCAACCAAGGTCGTATGACCAACTAAGAACCCATGGCGGTCACGAGGATGTGGTACAGTTGTCGGACAAAATCGAAAAGATATCAGTGCAGCGGTGCCAGCTAGGGACTGACTAGACGCCTACAGAAATCGTGGGAAATTGGTCCCACGTCAAGCCTGCGATGGGGATTTCCAATATATTGCCTCTCAGTCCTTAATCATGTTCTACGCTGTTGCCGGTTGACAGATACAGGTTTCCTCTATTCAATTTGCGTCTCTCTCTCTCATCTGAGTAACACCCGTCTTGGCTTTCCACTGTGCAGGCTGCATCAGTAAGAATAATTCTATGGCCTTACAAATTGGCTTATCGAGCCTAGTGCGGATCATGACATCATGGGTTGGATTGACTGGCAGCCGACAATTTTAGTAATTGCTCTTTCAGCAACGAACGCCCACAGAACATGCGCTTTGCCAAGTCGCCTGGGTTGCGAATCGACTATAAAATGCAGCGACGTCTCCGAGAATTCCAACAAGAATCACTTCCACCATCAACGCCTCCTCCGCCATCACTACTACTGCTATGAGCGTCGAATTCACCGTCTTCAAGGGCTCGAAAGCCGATGGCATCGTCCAAGCAACGAGCTCTCGTCCTGTGCCAACCGGGATCCAAGTCCTGGTCCGCATCACGCACTCCGGCATCTGCGGCACCGACGAGCACTACAAGCACGCCGACATGGCGCTCGGACACGAGGGCGTGGGTGTCGTTGAGCAGGTCGGATCGGACGTGTCCTCGCTGCGCGTCGGCGACATAGTCGGATGGGGCTACATTCACAAGACGTGCGGGAAATGCGAGCACTGTCTGCAGGGTGTGTTGTGTTGCCTTGCTCGTCGTCCGGCCCTGTTGGACTCCCAGCTGACGCGCTTGCAGGGCAGGACCAGTACTGCACCGCCCACGAGATGTACGGCACGCACAGCTTCGACCAGGGCTCGTTCGGCACGTATGCCGTCTGGGAGGAGCCCTTCCTGTTCCAGATTCCAGCAAACCTGGCCCCTGAGCACGCGGCTCCGCTGATGTGCGGCGGCGCGACCGTGTTCGAGGTCCTCGACAGCTACGGCATCCGGCCCACGCAGCGCGTCGGCGTCGTCGGGATCGGCGGCCTGGGCCACCTGGCCGTGATGTTCGCTGCGAAGATGGGCGCGGAGGTCGTCGTCTTCTCGAGCTCCGAGTCGAAGCGGGAGGAGGCCGCGCGGCTGGGCGCGTCGGAGTTCCACTCGACCAAGGACGTGTCGAAGTTCGAGAACGTGCGGCCGCTGGACCACCTGATCGTGACGACCAGCTACATTCCCTCCTGGGCACCGTACATTGCGGTGATGAAGCCCAAGGGCACGATCTACCCGCTGACGGTCAGCCAGGACAACTTGTCCATCCCCAGTCTTCCCCTCATCCTGGGTGGGATCAACATCCAGGGCTCGACTGTCGCTGGCCGCTCTGTCCACCGCCGCATGCTTGACTTTGCTGCGCGCAACCACATCGAGCCGATTATCGAAAAGTTCTCGATGACTAAGGAGGGCGTCGAGGAGGGCATGTCTCGCTTGAGGGACGGCAAAATCAGATACCGGGCTGTTCTCGTTGTGTAATCGACTGGATTTCAAGTCAAATACTGTAGCTACTAAACCTAATTTCTCTTAGTGTGTACATCTATAATCAGAAATCATTTGATTCAGTGTTAGTATCGAGGTGTTCGTTAAAAGCGATTAGCGGTCAGGAATGATCTGGGGAACCATTCTGGCAGCATTTCCACCTCGAACTTTTCTCCCTGCAGCTCCGAGACAAGCATGTCGACCACGACCTGTGCACAGCCGTATGCCCGGGGCATGCCATGCCCAGCATACCCCGCCGATATGAACTGGCCAGAGTGGGATTGGCCCGAGCCGTGCTGATCCAGTACTGGCCCTACAAACGGGATATCCAGTGCGGTGTAGCCCATGATCCCAGTCTAAAGCACTTGAGCCGTTCCTCCAGCGGAAATTCACGAACGGCCGCTTACCCATTCTGCTTCTGGTTCGCGCCCGACTTGATACTTGGAGGGAAACATTTCAGGAAGGAACGCCCGCAGCGTTTCCCCGACAACATGATTCACAACGCTATCATCGGTCGTGTCGACTTCGAACGGTGGGCCTGCGTCCTCTCTCGCACCGCCCAGAATGACCAACGGGTTCTCGTCCGTGGCCGGCCGCGGGAACCAATACCCCGAGTTGCCGATCCAGGACACCTTGGTCAGATCCTCGAGGCTGACCGCCGCGCGCGTGGCGATCACCTGGCCCCGGACGGGCATGATCCCCTGCGGACCCGTGCCAGCCATGTGCGGGAGAAGATGGGACGTGTAAGCGTTCGTTGCGTACACCACATAGGAGCAGCCGACGGACCCTCGCGGCGTCGAAAGCTCCCATCGGCGGGAAGTAGATCGGGACTGACTAACACTGAGAACGGGAGTGCGTGTATGTAACCGAAGACCGAGGTCGGGAGACATCGCTTTCGCTTCCTTGAACAGCTGCGTGACGAATTTCAGCGGCCACAGATTATATCCCGGAGTTTGCGCGCCCCAGTGGTATGTGCCATAAGTCTGTTGTGAGTTCCGTCAGTCGCAGGTCGGGTCGCACCAAGCACAACAAGCCAGCTATACACACGGCATTCATCTCCTCCCTCCCCATCCAGGTCACATTCACCTTCCTTCCCGCCTTCACAGCCGCAGCACTATCGGCGCGGACCTGCGCCAGATGCTTCTCCGTCATGTACACATCCACGTGCCCGCCCTCGACGAAGTCGACCGCGTCAGCCCATCCGCCCTCGCGCGCCACCCGCGCCATTGCCGCGGAGGTGTGGTGCTCTAGCGCGTACTGCCGCAGCGCTTCCTCCGCGCCGAACCGGCTCTCCACATCTCGGAAGTGTGCGACCTCGTACGGCGTGAGGTTGCCCCCGTTGCGTCCTGCAGTCGCAACGCGTGATCAGCCTGGAACGTCCGGGGCGGGCGCACGGCGCACCTGTTGCACCCGAGCCTTCAGCCCAGCGTGTGCGAGTCAGCTCACAGACATCCCTCCAGCAAACCGAGCTTCGTCGGGGACTCACAGAAATCGCGCGCTTCAAGCACAACGGCGCGGAGGCCCTTGTCGACGGACCCCTGCTCCACAGCCCGCGCGAGATGATACGCAGTCGACACACCCGTAATGCCCGATCCGATGATGCACACGTCCGCCTCGCTGGTAAGCAGCCCCGTGCTGCCTTCCCCGGCGAGTGGATTAGCGCCGGGGGAGTGCGTCCAGAACGAATGCGAGGGCATCGAGTGTGGAAGATCGGCTGGACGGTGATGGGGCTTGAGTGGGACTTGGGGGAGGGAGAACGCTGAGGTCAAGCCGAGGAGGGAGAGGAGGATCGTAGCACGAGTTGCGGACATTGTTCTCTGGGTGAGCTATTCCAAGCACGAGCGAGAACAGGCAGGCTCAAATTAGTATGTGGCCGTCAAAGTGCAAGGGCACTTGGCAGGCCGCGGCCATCAACCGCTCGTCAGAGATTAGATGAGAGATAAGATAAGATACCTTGTGGTTCTCTATGGAGGCCTGGAAGGCCCTGCTCACAACCGAGACATTTGACATTGATAGGCGATGCACGTGGCCAGGACCCCATGAACTCACTACGTACTCTTCTTTACGCATGTTTTCAACATTCTAACACTATCTTATTGCATTCATAAAATGACTTGTTGAGGCACAAATTCAACGAGTATGAGATTACGACATAACTGTAGATGACGGGGTTCAGTAAGGACACGACAAAAAACAGTATGTATGTAGAATCTCGTGATCCGGGATCAGAGATGGGACATCAGATCAATTGTGGCTGCTTTGTCAGACCAAGCAGCTTGGTACGTCATACTGATGGGACATCAGTTCAATTGATTGCGGGGCCAGGGTGTATCTGCGCTTGTCACTACAAATGAAACTAAATGTAAATGGATGAAAATGCGCAATTGAGAGCCAGGATCCATCAACATTTAAACAAGTGACTTCAATCCAAAGAAACAGCAATATCCGGAGCATTTGTGCTTCTCAGGGAATGCTGTGAACAGTGCACCAATGTTTCCGCCACCAAACATGCTCTTCTTGGAGATATCACTGAGAAGCCATTCAAACAAGATCAGACAAACTTATAATAAAAAATATTGACTCATGGAGAAGTCATTATCTGCGGGTCACTCAAAAGTAACTTGGACCCTGAGCACAATGTGAGATTGGATACCCTCAAAAGAGACCAGGGATTGACGCACCTTGATAATCAGAGATGAATACCAATCCACCCGATTTCTCATACTGCACGTGTTGCGTAAAGCATAAGATGTCAGCCATATAAAACAAGGGATGATCCGTGTGACAATCAACCCAAAAATGAAGTCGAAAAGAGAAGTGAATTTGAAGACTGGAGAATACAACCAAGTAGCTACAGTATTTATACCCAAATCCAGTCTGAGTCATATCTACAACTAATGAGTCATAGGGCTATGTACCACATGGAACGCTGGTCATGGGTTGTAGTAGAACCTTCCAGAGCATATGTCGCGCAGCCTTGAATCGATAGAGATAACCCCTGGAACCCCTGGCCCGGACCGTCTGATGCCGTGATCCGTGATAAGATAAGTCGTGCCAAGATAAGATAGGATCGTCGATGATAAGATGAAAAAGAGTCGAATTATGACATTACCCCCTCTCTAGGGTCGATGTCCTCATCGACTAGGCCAATGGGCGTGAAGACGTTTTCGTACGGATCGAAGAGTTGTCGCTGGGGGTATGGAAGGCGCTCGTCTTTGGGTTTGTAGCGATGGATGAGGTAATCCCAATGTCCGGCTTCAAGAGTTGGCAGGAGGCGAATGCGTGTGTCTGGGTTAGATTGTTTCCTCTGCCAATCTCTCAGGACCTTCTTTGCGTGGGTAAGGTGACGTGATGGTTCCCAGGTGTTCTCGCTATGCGGCCATCCCTTCCATTTGACCAAGTACTGTTTTCCTCGGCCGACGTTTCGGTCTTTCACGATCTCTTCGACTTCCCACTCCTCTGCTCCTTCGATCATCTTGGCTACAGGCCTCTTCTCTCGGCGATGGGGGGGTGGTTCGTGATAGGGTGTCAACAGTGACTCGTTGAACACCGGATGTCTTCGGTCCGTGTCCGGTAAATCCAGCTTCCATGCGGCCGCTCCAACCTTCTCCAATATCTCGTATGGCCCTAGTCTCTTGTCGCTCATCTTCTTTGATGGTCGATCCGTCTCGATATTTTCCCCTTCTATGTACACCTTCATCCCAACCTTCAACTCCGGAACTTCTTTTCTTTGTTTATCGTAGTATTTTTTCATTTTTTCATTTGCTTTTTCTAGTGCTGTTTTTGCTTCGTCTTGTATTTCTTTCATTCTTTTTACAAATTCCTCCGCCGACTCGTTTCTCGACTCCATCCGTTGCTCCACTCCCTTCCATGGGTGATATCCGTGATTCGCATAGAATGGCGATATTTTGGTAGATGTGTTCATTTTATCGTTATATGCGAATTCTGCCATCCCTAGCCACTCCGACCAGTCCGTTTGATGGTAGTTGACGTAGATGTGGAGATAATGCTTGATCTCCTGATTCATGCGTTCTGTCTGTCCATCCGTGATCGGGTGATATGCGGTCCCCGGATTCATTTCCATGCCCAACATTCGATTCGTCTCCCTCATGAAGCCCTTGATGTAACGCGAATCCCTGTCGGTGATGATCTTGCGAGGGATCCCGTGGTAGCGGAAGACTCGGTCCCTGGTTAGTCGTGCCACTCCTTCGCTGCTGATGTCAGTACTAATTGGTTCGACATGGATCATTTTGGTGAAGGTGTCACACCACACATGAATTGCGTCATACCCGTTACTGACCGGCAAAGGTCCGATTTGATCCATGGAGATGATTTCCCACGGCGCGTTTGGAACTGCATGCGGGTGCAAACTCCCTGTCCTTGCTCTCCTGGTCTTGGTCCGTTGGCACGCCTCGCACGTCTGGATGTATTTTCGAATTTGGTTTCCCATCCTGGGCCACCAATAGTTTCTTTCCACCATCTCCTGCGTTCGGTTGATCCCGGCGTGTCCGACCAAAGGGGTGTCGTGGTGTAGTCCGATGATTTTGTCGCGCAACTCCTCGTCCCTTGGTACGTAGAGCTTCCCATGGTACGTGATAAGCCCCTCTTCCTTCTTCCATCCGACGAGTGACTTCTCTACGGCCGCCTTGACGCTTCCATCAATTGATCGAATGGCCTTGATTTCATCGATTAGCTGCTGATCCTGTCCCTCGAATGTGACTTCTTGTGATCGGAAGAACTCGGGCTTCAGTAGCGTGACGTCCTTGTTGTCGTTCTTGCCCTGATCGTGATCTGCTCGTCGGGACAGGAGGTCCGCCTTGCGGTTGAGTGCGCCGGGTCGGTGTCGTAAGGTGAAATCGAACTCCGCCAACTCCGTGATCCATCGTGCTTGCCGTTGATTGAGCTTCTGCGGCTTCCGAAAGTACTCGAGATTCTGATGATCGGTGAAGATCTCGAACGTTTCCGTGGCTCCCAGGAGTAACTGCCTCCATTCGTCAAGTGATAACATGATTGCGAGCATTTCCTTGTCGTAGATCTCGTAATTTCGCTCGGTTTCGGTCAATGCGTGCGAAATAAATGCGATTGGGCGCCAAATGCCGTCTTGGTTTTGGCTCAAAACTGATCCTGTTGCCCCTTCCGAAGCATCGGCTTCCAGACGATATTGGCCAGTGTCATTTGGCAGTGCTAGGACCGCATCCTCCGCGATTCTCTTCTTCAATCCATCAAATGCCGCATGTTCATCTGCACCCCATGACCATCCTGCCTTTCCTGTCATCCGTTTCAATGGCTTGGCAACCTCCGCGTATCCCCGGACAAAGCGCCGATAGAAGTTTGTGAACCCTAGAAACGCTTGGACTTGTTTGACGCTCTTTGGTTCCGGCCATTCCATCACGCCCTTGATCTTGACTGGGTCCATCCGCATCGAATTGTGTCCAATAATTACACCCAAATATTCGATTTCCGTGCGTTCGAACTCGCACTTTTCGGGCTTCAGGTATAGCTTGTGTTTCTGGAGTAATTCGAGCACTCGTTTCGTGATCCGCCGATGTTCGTCCAAGTTCTCTGTAAAGATCAGTATATCGTCCAGATAGACTACCACGTGTCCCTCGTTGATCAGTTCTCGGAGTATGTCGTTCATCATGTTTTGGAAGGTAGCCGGGGAGTTCGTGAGACCAAAGAACATGACCAAGGGCTCGTACAGTCCACGGTTCGTGCGGAACGCAGCCTTCCACTCGTCACCCTCTTTGATCCGTACGTTATTGTATCCCCATCGGATGTCGAGCTTGGTGAAGAACTTGGCGCCGCATAGATTATGGACCAGTTCGGAGATCAGCGGCAGCGGGTACCGATTTCGGATTGTCATCTCGTTCAGCTTCCGATAATCCTGGACGGGACGTAGTGAACCATCTTTCTTTTTGACGAAGAAGAATGCTGAGGCCATGGGTGATTTTGATGGTCTGATTCGTCCGCTGGCCAGGTTCTCTTGTAGGAACTCGTCGAGTTTGACCTGCTCGTTTCGTGATAGCGGGTACACCTTGCAGTCCACTGCTTTGGAACCGGGTTTGAGCTCAATCGCATGATCCCAGGTTCGTCGGTCCGGTAGCGAGTCGAATGATTCCTTGGCAAATACTTTGACGAATTCCCGGTATTGATCCGGAATTTCCCTTCGGTCATCCTCTCCTTCTCTTTTTTCGCTTCTTCTGCGAATTTCTGCGCCGGTGTTTCCTTCAGCCGTAGATCTACCTCCTTTCCAAAGTCGATCAGCAGGATCGATTCTCCCTCTTCCAGATCCGGTGCGCTCGTGTCCAGGTCGATTGCATCCATGTCAATCATCGCTTGGTGTTCCTCGTGACCCCTCATGTGACACCGTTCTGGGCATCGGCTGAATCTCATCGTTTGCTCCTGCCAATCCACCTCCGGGTTGTGTTCCGTCAGCCAGTCAAGACCAATGAAGATCCGGGCCTTCCCTAAGCACGTCAGAAGGAACGTGCGTGTCTCCACATGAGGACCGATTCTCATCCTTAGGTCAACGTAATGCGTGATCCGGCCGCTGATGTTTTCGGTGTTGTCGGCGTTACGAGCCACAATGGGTTGGGGAAGTTCTTGGATATCCAGCTTCTCTGCCCGCGCGTAGTCGGTATCGATGCAGCAGGTGCTACAGCCACTATCGAGTAGCGCCTTGACTCCGCGCGTCTTTCCTGAGTCCAGGCCTGTGATCTGGACATATACGTCCATCGAATGTCTCTTCCTTTCGGCCTGGTAGTTGCGCAATTCCTGCGCCAATCTGCTGGGCTGGGGGCCCTTCTGTCTCTCGGCTGCCCATTTCCTTTGAACGGCATCCGGCACCCTTGTGCGTTTGGGTGCTTCTGGAATCCTGATTTCGGCAGATTCCTTGGGCGCTTCCTCCTTTTTCAAGGATTGAGCCTCCGGAGCGATGCTCCCCTTTTCGGTCTTTGTTGACGTGGTTCCTTCTCCACGAGCCATAAATACGTAGGAGTCCAAAATTAATTTATCCGCAGCTTTCTGATCCTTTTTACTTTGTAAATACTCTCTATTTAAAACTATTTTTCTTTGTCGTTCCTTTTCCATATCAGCAATGAGGAAATCATGAATATTGGTACGTAATGAGTCCGAGATTGTATATGTATGTGTAGAATCGTTCATGTCTTTAATCGAAACAAGTACAGAAAAACGTCCATAGTTCGGACGCTCCACCTCCTTGGCTAGAGGAGTGGAGCGCTTCAAAAACCCTTCTCGCGCAGCTTCTCGGCGATCTCCTTCAGGAACTCGTTGTCCTTGTCCCCGTTCTCGATCTCTTCTAGCATTGTGGCCCGATTGAAGAACGTGCGCTTCTTCTTGGGCTCAGGGCAGTTCCGCGCAATGTGCCCAGGCTGCTGACAGTTGTAGCAGATGATATTGCGGCCACGGGCGTGGGTGCGATCGATCTCCATCGGAACCGGCTCATTGGCCGCTGGTCGGGCCGGAGCGGGTGCAGGTGCTGATGGTGTAGCCTGAGGGCGGAATTGGGGTGGGGGCCGCGGAGTTGAGTGCGCATAGGATGCCTTACGCAGCTGATCGCGCAAGGCATTGGCCTCGATGTTGACGCACCAGTTCTTGAAGGCACCATATGCCTTGGGCAGGGGGACGCCGGTGTTGTAGAGGCGGCTTGCAATTTCGCTGCTGAGTCCGCGCTCGAGGAACTCGATGAGGATGTTGTCCTGATCCCCCTTCTTGTACTCGCCCTTGTCATCGGTTGAGGCGACCACGTTGTACCCCGCGTCCGCAGCCAGCATTTCGAAGTCAGAGATGTAGTCCGCGAAGGACCGTCTGCC